GTCTGAGAAGTCCATGCGGGGGGTGTTGTTAGTAGGGACCCTGGGGGTGTTGGAGTATGTAACTTGACATCAAGCTTCGAAAGCACACTTTCGGCACTCAAAGGAACAAGCCCCCCTCTGAAGCCTCCCTGGATGTTTTTTACCGTTAGGGTTTGCATGTAGGGTTTGCATGAAAGCATTATGAAATGCAGGGAAGAAGTCCTCATTTGTAATATGGGTATTACCCCGGCGCATCTTATCCTCAATTTGTCGACCATAAGCCGTCTTTAGTGGCCCAAAACACCCAACGTCTAAGGGCTAAAGTAGATAAGACGAATGGGCCGGCATGCAGAGTGTGACGATATTGTTTTCTTTGCAATATATCTCAAAGTCCGCAGAGTGGTGACTTTCGTGCCCATCGACGACGAGGAGGCGATAAGTGCTAGTTATACGCGGTTTTGTATACCGATCAAAGTGCTGGAGCCAGTCTAGGCCTCTTTTATTTATTATCTATCCGCTTTTAGACGTTGCGATGACCTAGTCGCGTAGGAGATCTGTTCCTATATACCAGGTAGAGAGGTGATATTGGCCTATAATAATGATATACGGCGGAACGCTGTAGCCTAACGAACTGATGGCCTAAATGACTGTAACCTATTCACGATTACCAGGCTGCATCATTTTTGTATTTGAACGACTTTCGGCACTCGTGACGACTATCCCTGATACAATCTAGCCCATTATAAACCTAGTCTCGTCGAAGTTATAAATATCAGAGTCTATAATGCCGTATTTCGCGATTATGTTCGCTATAAGCCGAAACCACGCATTTATCGCGTCTAGATCTTCGCATTGGGCCCTCTTATAGTCGTACTTGCGAAAAAAGCGCGTCCGGAGCTGTGATTGTCGTTTAACAAAGTTTGAAGCCCAGCGCTTCCCAACTGGGGGCGCGTCGCGGTCGGCGAGTAATCGATTAGCCATTTCTTCTATACCACTGATACGGGGAGGAAACGATCGGGAATTTAGGTCGAGGATATACTCAACTAGCTTCTCCTCTTCAAGCTCCGTCAATTTGCGTGAGTTAGGTATAGTATCTTGTCGTATAGGTGTCCCTTTTAATCGGGTGCCTAGGGTCCTAGGGGGGACTGAATAGATTCTTGCTGCGGCTCGAATGCTGAGTTTAGGGTTTTTTTTAGATAGCCTTGACTGCTAAGTTCAATTGGGCCTCTTTACTTTGTGACGACATGATTATTTGTGGCGTGATACGCATTAGAAGTGAGGAGAAAGGATGAACGCGGTTGGGTGGGCAGCTCGCTTATCAAGTACGTTAGTCAAAGCAGCAAAATTAATATTCTTTATAATTACAATTCACAATTTTATATAATTATAATTAACGTTGCGGTTAATCTAACAGAATGGGGCTAATTATATAAGTATTGGTTAGTAGTAGTATATAGTTAAAATTCCTAGATCGTATACTAAAAATAGCCAGATTCAATCTTTTATACCTGCCTTAAAGGTCTTAAAGTACTATAAGGTTTATTATAAATATATATTTAGTACATTAATTATGCCTTTAATATTTCATAAGCTAAAAAGTTTAAGAAAATATAATAAAATCACTTTCAACGGCTCTCACTTTAATGTTATTATTATTATAAGCCGTCTTTTCTATTTAAACGTTATATTATATGAAACTTAAAGTATAATTGATTATATAGCTGCAATAAGAGATATTCTTTAATAAAAACCTAGTATAAATTAAAAGTTCATATTATAAAATTAAATTATAGAGCTATATAAATATATTAATATATAACATCAAAGAGTAATTATATGTTAAGATATGTATAGGGTACCGCCCCTTTAGGGTCCGGTCCGCTAGGGGCCAGCTGTAAGGGGCTGGCCCCTAGGCTTGTTTAACGTAGAGGTGCCGTCGATTGACTATTATGAGCTGAGGAGGAATATGAGGAATTACAGGGGTTCGCGTATAGCTATGGCATGATGTGCCCGGACTCGGCAGTGTATTGCAGTAGAATAGTGGCTCTGGTAAAGCAGGATATCTCGACCGGCTCCGGCCTGCAGCATAACCGAATGTAATAATCCAATATAATAATCGGTTTTTATAGGTCGCGGTCGGACAGCTTCCCAGCAGAGGGGTGTGCGTGCGGCTCCGGCCCGTGACACCATCTTAACTTATAGGTAAGTTAGTCCATTAGGGTTAATATTATATTATTATTATATATTATTATTAAATTACTGTTATAATTAACTATAGCCGTTATCAGCTATTATACCTATTACTATATTTCTAATTTGCTTATTATAATATAATATATTAATAGTTTTTTATATAATTAAGAATTACGGTCTATTTTCTACTCTTTTATTATATTTATTATTAATTTCTTAACTCCTTTTTATATATTTTATATACTCCTTGATCTTCTTTTTAAACTTTTAGTCATATTGTTAGATCTAATCTCGTTAATACTATTTTACAATATAAATAAAATATTAATAAGAGTAACATGGTTCATCAGTCAGCGACGAACTTTTTCCCAAATGCGGTTTGCATTAAACCACTCCAACCTTTGACGCGTAATAACTCCACAACCATTATGCCAATTTACACACAAGAAGATAAGATACTTCTAGCTATCGAGGCTATCCGATAAAGTTCCGTACTCCATAGAATAAACGATCGACCCCGATACGAACGTGCCCAACCCCAACGACATAAACTTGATGCGATCGAAGAGAAAGCGCTTCTCCAATACGTTATTGAGCAGGATCAAAGAGGGTTTCCCTTGCGTCTCGCTGGTGTGGAAGATATGGCCAATCTCCTGCTACGAGCGCATAATGGCAAGCCTGTTAGCAAGCGATGGGCCAGGCGGTTTGTGGACTCGCTGCCTGCTCTGAAAACCAAGTTTAATCGTCCATACGATTATCAAAGGGCTCTTCAAGAAGATCCTAAGGTTATATTCAAGTGGTTTGCGCTGTTACGCAATGTAATGGCCAAGTATGGCATCCAAGAGGGGGACCTATATAATTTCGACGAAACTAGCTTTATGATGGGCATGATCACCGCGTCAATAGTAGTAACACGCGCTGATCAGCGCAGCAAAAAAAAGTCTATCCAGCCTGGCAACCGTAAATGGGCTACAGTCATTGAATGTATCAATTCGGGCGGGTGGTGCATCCCTCCGTTCGTGATTGTCAAAGGCGCATATCACCTTGCTAGTTGGACTACGGAATCAGGATTTCCGGGCACCTGGGTTATCAAGCCCACTATTAATAGATGGACGGATAATCAGACGGGTCTTGACTAGATTAAACACTTCGACAAATATGTTAAGAACCGAACTAAGGGCGTCTACCGGATGCTCATTATCGACGGCCATGAGAGCCATTTATCGGCCGAATTCGACGATTACTGCAAGTAGAACAATATTATAACCGTCAGTATGCCAACATATCCGTCACATCTACTATAGCCATTAGATATTGCCCTTTATTCGCCTTTAAAATATGTATATGGTGATGAAATCAACCTATTTATTAAAGCCTCTATAAACTATATCACCAAGTCGGAGTTCTTTATTACCTTCTACCAGGCCCACAACAAGGTTTTTAATGAAGAAAACATTAGGGCTGCTTTTCAAGGCGCTGAAATTTCACTATGGAACCCAGAGCATGTCATTGAAAAGCTTGATATACGTTTATGGACGCCTACACCTCCTGTGGTCAACCCTTCAATACCACCACCTTAGCAGTCGTAAACGCCCTCTAACCCACAACAAACCGTCTCGCAGTCTAATTTTATCAAAAGTCGGATCACTGCTCATTAAGGAAGCTCACTAACGCCAATTATTGCTATAGTTAAGCAATTGTCAAAGGGTACGTAGGCAATAGCGCACTCAATCACTCTTTTGACTGATCAGCTTCGTACCCTTGAGGATGCGAATGTTGCACTTGGTAAGCGCCGGAGGGCTAAAAAGACGCGGGTCCAGCTTGGAGGGGCGCTTAGTATAGAGGAATCTCAGGTTTTGCTTGAAGGGAAACAAAAAGGGAAACGTCCAGCACCTCAAGAGGATGAGGAGGGGGGTCCATCAAAGAGAGCCCAGCCAGCTCGGAGATGCTATAGTGTGTATAGCGAGACCGGTCATAATGCGCGAAGCTGTTCTAAGGATACGGGATTGTCAAATGATTCGAGTAGTAATCAGGAATAGTTAATTCAATGTGTTGTGGTTGTGCAATAGTAAATACCATTACGTGCATGGGAAAAAGTTCGTCGCTGACTGATGAACCACGTTATAGTAGCTATATTATTCTTAATAATAATAATAATAAGGATAACTTATCTTTAACTTATTACTATATTATTATTATCAACTATCGTTAACTACTTAAAGGGTAGTAAACTTAGCTAAATATATAGCTTATAAAGTAATAGTATTATAGCGCCTAATGTGGGCAGTACACACTGCTCATCTGGACCAACGAGGCAAGCAATGAGGCAATACGACTGGTATTGACGGTTGGTTGGTGATGTTGTGGTGAAGGTGAAAGGTGGCTCCGGTGGGCTAGATCAACCAGGAAGTGGATCGGGCAGCTGGTGCCTGGGGCACCAGCCACTGCCTCAGGTATCCACAGGCCCACACCTAATATTACCGTCGCTAATATTAATTTATATGTCACGAGTAGGTCAAGTCAACCAACTGTGGCACAAAGCAAAAGCTTTGATAATGATGACTCCGACATCATTATCCCTTGTTCTACATTATATAGCTACGCGCCTATAAGATTATAGCGGACGTAACATTAGTTATAGTTATAAAGGTTAAATCGAAAAATCTTTTAAAAGTTTTTAAAAAATTGGATATACTGAGATAATAGAAGTATCTATTTATATTATATATTTAGTTATACTATATATTATACATTGAGTAGTGCCTTATCAGTAATAGAGTAGATAAATTGAATAAATAACTTATATTAAATACCGCCTTATATAAGGCAGAGAAACTAAAATAAATAGGAGTTATATAAGTAGTAGTTAATACTAATATATAGTTAAAGTAGCCTAATACTATAATAGAAATAACCGGTCCTATAACTAAAGCATAGTTAATTCAGTCGGGTTGTATAGTCAAATTAATTTTACTCTTAGATGAATAGGTTTTATGTTTAATTCTGTGCTATTCGTCACTACTTATGCTGCTTGGCTTTGTAAAACCTTCTGCCTTAGTACTATTAATTGCGCGCGAATTGTTAGTATAATCGGAACCTTGCCCATTGCTTAGCTTCCATCCCCGGGAACGCGTAGAACTTACCATCCTCTACACTCCGCACATTCATTGTCTTCCGCTGCACGATGACCTCGAGGTCCTGAATATTATTCATCAAATTCTGAACCTTGGCTTCGTAGAAACGTTCGGCAGACTCAGTGTCCTGCGCAATCGTTAGCACACACAGTGACAAGAGGGCAGACAGACCCTGGGACGCGATGAACATGCCTTCTCGACGTAGAAACCTGTGCCCACGTCGACAATGACGTGATTTGGATCCGAAAGCTCTCCGCGTACGTAGAGTGAGTTGGTCAACGGTACCAGGACAGACTTGTCCCCTGGAGAAATGTCAATTTCGCCGGCCAATACGATACAGTTACGGATGAGACGGGGAAGTAGGGGGCCTGCGTACCATCTCCAGCACCAGGTCGGGCCTTGACACACCGGAGGCACTCCCTGAACCTGGACTGCGCGCTGTGTAGCTGGGTGAACGAGTTTGTCAAGTGCTCGAGTTCTTCTTCCAACTGCTTCTTGACCTGACTGAGTTGCTGGGTATCCAGCGTCTCCAGATTGACTATGGAGCTGAGTCAGCGCGGAAATCGAAAACGCACATCTGATCTCAATGACGAGATAGGAGACTCTCAATCGGAAGTACTCACTGCTCTCAGAACCCTGCGCGGCCATGATTGAATGAACCGGTTTGCGAGCGAACGAAATCCGGATAGATGACTGAAGTGAGTCTGAATCCCTGCTCAGTACTAACCCCTAAGCGACGGTGCACGCCCACGCCGAACAAAAGGCAAACAGGGAAACTGCGGATTGCAGATTCGTTGAGGATTGGGTGCTGCACCAAGTATTCGGAAGCTGAGTGAGGTTTGAAGCAAAGCCTACCTAGTTGTCGTCCATTGACACCACTCCTTCTCATACTGTTGACAGCCGTTGTCGCACTCCGGAGGCGGTGGCTATGCACGTGACCGCCCCACACCTGCAGACACGCCCGGCAGGTCGTCGTCGTATGTAATCCACATCAACTCTGAGTGGGGTGGGATAGATCTGAGTTACTCGGATTTCTGATCGACAGTAATGGACACGCCGCCTCGACTTGACATTAATTTGAGCCACTGCAGGCTCTTTTTATCTCTACAATGGTAATACATTTGATTTGGAGACATCTGATTGTCTTGTACACACCGCATCGCGGGCGCCTCAATACCCTAGCAGTCTTCATTCTGCTCAGAGCTGTTCGAGCAACTCTGCCACACGCTGACGCAGCTCTCTGAGCGGGACCATCTCTTTGATCCCTAGCCTGCGACACTGAACCTCACAGTCGCCCGTTTCCTTCCATACTTTGCCCAGTATAACTAGGACCGGGTATCCTACCAAGTCTGCATCATTTAGCTTCCAACCGAAAGACGCCGACCTGTCATCCAGCACCGTGTCAATGCCCCCTATGGCGATCTCATCATACACTTTACTAGCATCTTCAGCTAGATGAGGAGTACTAATGACCACGGCTTCGTAGGGAGCAATCACGCGCGGCCATTGTAGGCCCCTGATGTCTGTCAGATGCTCAGCTACAGCCCCGATGAGTCGAGAAACGCCAATTCCGTGGCAACCCATCTGCATAGGCGTCTTGTATTCGGTCAAAGCTGGCTGGCCCTCGTGCTGACTTGATTTTGCACGAGTAGGTATGGAAACCGTTGCTTCGAGTGGCTCCGAGTATCGCGTTCCTAGGTAGAACGTATGCCCAAGCTCCAGCGCCTTTTGCAGCTGGAGAGAGCCATTATCACAGTCAGGACATCTGTCGCCAGCGCGAGCGGCGAGCAGGTTGATCGATTGTCCACCGTGGGTTTTGGTAATGATGGTAGAGTCTACTCCATCCTTGGGAAAATCCAAGCCTGACAAAGGGGATGATTTGCTTTCATCCTGTAGAACCTCGTCTAGGTTGCTGGTTAATGTGGAGTCTATGATGTTGATGATTTGAGGCCGAGCGTTCGTGTTAGAGTCCGTTGATGTAATAGCTGTCCGCCACAGCGACACGGCGTTCTCTGTGCTTGCGTCCAGATCAGCGACAATCGACTTAATGGCCGAGATTCTGATGTCGTTCTCTCGGCCAAATCCGTCCTGAGCTCGACCTGGATACCAGGCATTCACCAAGGTCTTGCGGTCTTTACTGATACCTCGCCATACCCTTAATGAAGCAGATGGCGGGCTTGAGGCTTCAGTCAGACCGCATGATCCTATGCTGTCGGCGGCGGCTGCCCTTGCCTCGGCGACCTCGTCGTTGGCAGCGTAACTACAGGTGTTACAGGTGACCAGAGTGTCCTCCCCAACTGAGGTAGGTAAGTGATATTCATGGCTGAGGTCGCCTCCCATATCGCCGGAGCTGGCTTTGGCCACCGTCACCGGTAACTTCAATGCTTTGAAAACGCCAGCGTATGCTACCTGGACCTTCTGGTAGGTCTCCAAGGCCGACTCTGCGGAGACGTCGAAAGTATAGAGGTCCTTCATGGTGAACTCGCGGGTTCTGAGCAGCCCGTGCCGCGGGCGCAGTTCGTCGCGGAATTTGCGTGCTAATGATCTCAGCATGAGTTATTGGACTGCCGACAAGGCTTGTGACGTTGCTGGGCTCACTGATTTGGTAGAGGCGAAGGGGCAATTCTTTGTAGGACTTGACGGTCTTGGCCACTAGAGTAGTGATCTCTTCCTCGTGGGTGGGTGACAACATATACTTGGACCCTTTGCGGTCCTCGAATCCGAAGAGCTTTGGGATATGAGTAAGTAAGGCGTAGTGTTAAGTTTATGAGAAGGCATGAACAGACCTCGGCCTCTAGTTGTGTGAGGCGGCCACTCCTCTGCCAGAGGTCCTTCGATGTAATGGTCGACAGAGCTACTCTCGAGGCTCCTGAAGCAGACGTCAGTAAACGACAACGAGCAACACCCGATGTGTATGAGAAACTGACCAAGTTCTTGCATGTAGTAGTCGATGACGCCCTCGAGCTTACGTTGAACGCGCTGGCCAAGAGGAAGTAGATGGAAAATGCCAGAGTGTGACTGAAATATGAGGAATGAGCAAAATCTCTTATCTCAATACCCCTTTCCCGCACAGCCTACCTGTCGCAAGAATCCGGCGCGAACGAGCTTTTCATACGCGCCTGAGTTTTTGTAGTGAGTATGCTGGCATTCAAGATGGGTAGCATGAGATGGACCTACCTTCGCCTCGTTCAGGTGTCATTCCTCCGGTAGGGACCCAAACAGCCGAAAGTCGATTTCTGGTGCTACCAGCACGGTAGCTGCGGCTGAATGACTGGTGACAAGTAAGCAGATGTTATATGGGAATATCAGCCCAAAGGCATTTGTGTACCTACCTGGCTACTGCCATTGAATGGTGACCTGCCATAGCATGCCTTCATGCTATGAGACGACGGCAAAGTAGGGAGTCTCCTTGCGCGAATAAAGGACATATTGGCGTGGATGGTGAGTATATCAGCGAATGAGGTAACTCTGGAATACGTAACTCGCCGACCAGGACTCGTAAGTGAGATGCTGGCTCAGTAGCGATGACCGGTATGTTCACCTTGAAAGCACCCACCAAGATGGGATGACAATGGTGATTGGTCAATCGTTCGATGAGCCGGCCACCTGAGGACTGGTCAATCGGAAATCAGCGAATGGCATAGGCCGACAACGAGCAGTTAATTGGTGAAATTGGCGCGAAGGCAAGATCCAATCTCATTAGGGCCACAAGGATTCGTGATGCCAGGTGAGGCTATATCAAGTTTTGTTTGACTACAACCATGGACTTTTTGGACTGGAAGGGTTTCCAGTGACAATTTGGCTTACCTGGGTACTAAGACGGGGTCAGATGGACGAGATGCGCGACCCGATTATACAGTGTTAGTGCTCCGAGTAAAGTACCTCCATTACTCCAAGCTGGAGATGCAGATTCAGATAGGTACCTTATTCAATTGGGTTTAGGGGCTCGAACGAACCTCCACCACGCCGCCATCCCGGCTTATCGATAAGAGACACGACCCCACTCCCGGCGCTCTCTCGACTTTTTTTTTTGCGACTACTTCTTACCTTTCCTCGTTGCGCTGCAGGTTCTGCTTCTTGTACATTTTGGCGCAATATAGAGAATTACTCTCGCCTTCACACGGTTCATTATCGCATTTTGCATTCTATTGTTCCGAATCCTCTCTTCTCATCTGGTCACAGTCTTCATTCGAAATCCAAGATGGGCAAGCCAAAGAGGCAATCTGCCGGCAAGGCTCGACAGCCAGAGTCACTGAATCCGCAGTCGTTTTCGAATCTCACAGCCAAGATCGAGGGAAAACTAGGAAAAGCTGCCAAAGACAACTCAACCGACAGCAAGAAGCGCAAACACACTTCCGACGAACCATTGGCCAGCCCGCACCAACGGAAAAAGCAAGCCCATCGTCGCGACAAGCCCACGAGCGGGCGCGACGGCAATGCCACTGAGGTGAAGGGCAAGAAAGGCGCACCCCTCAACCGTGAGGATCTTCTGGAGGAGATCAGGGCCCTGGGAGGAGACGAAGAGGACCTGAAGCTCATTGGAGATATCGATTCGGACGACGAGGACGCCACCGGGGAGGCCAACTCCGTCGCTGCTGTTGATGGAAAGCTTCAGAACGAGCTTGCTGCTTTCGCAGCCCAGCTCGGCCTCCAACAACATTATGGAGCAGCAACAGCCCAGGAGACAGAAGAATCCCCGGAGGAGGAGGAGATAGAGGAGGACGAGGAGAGTGAGGCAGACGGAGTTATTGAAGGCGATGACCAGTCCATCCAGGAAGACACAGCTCCCGAGGCCCATACGCCCCAAGAACCTCCCCGCAAGGATGTCAAAGATACTTTCAAGAAGCAGTTCGTGAGCAGCCACCTGAACCAAGTTATTTTCAAAGTTATGCATGTACTGATCTATGCTCGACAGAAATTCGAACCTCGTGCTGACTGGCACGGAGCGGAACTGAGCAAGCTCCCAGATCCTACGTCTCCTGAAGTGAATGGTTTCCTTGGCGCCATCAATGCTATCAAAGCTCATGCAGTCACTCTTCTGGAGGCGGACGCGGCAGCGTACAACAAGAGCGTTTTGGCATCATCTTCTCGAAAGTTCCTCTCCACCATCATGTCTTCCGGAACGCTCTCCGACAAAGTCTCTGCCCTCACCTTGGCAATTCAAGAGTCACCGCTGCACAATGTGAAGGCTTTTGAAACACTCTTGGGCCTTGCGTCTAAAAGGAGTCGTGCTCAGGCCATTGGCGCTCTTGGTGCCCTGGTCGATCTCCTCGGTCCAGGTCTAGTCCTACCTCCTAATAGAAGACTGCGCGCCTTTCAGACTCAACCTGGTCTCATTGGAGTTCTGCAACGATCCTCTGTCAAGATTTGGAACCCAAGCCAAGCCTTACCGGGCCACTTAACAGATGCACACCTCATCCAGTGGGCTTACGAGGACTGGCTCAAGACATCATACTTCAAGATCATCCAGCTCCTTGAGGTCTGGTGCAATGATGAGATTGAATACTCTCGCACTCGTTCCATCGACTTTGTCTACGGCCTGCTCAAGGACAAGCCCGAACAAGAGACCAATTTGCTCAGGCTGTTGGTTAACAAGATGGGCGATAAGGACCGCAAGATTGCCTCGAGAGTTTCCTACCTTCTTCTCCAGCTTCAGAACACCCACCCCGGAATGAAGCAGGTTGTTATCAAGGGCATAGAGCAGGAAGTTCTACTTCGTCCAGGCCAAACTTTCAGGGCCAAGTACCATGCCACGAATACTCTGAACCAGACAATTTTGAGCAACCGTGAAGGTGGCACGGCCGAAGCACTACTCCGCATTTATTTCGAAATCTTCGTTACCCTTCTCAACAGTTCCGCACTTGGCAAAGCACCCGCCGAAAGCCAGCAGGATCACTCTTCCAAGGACACTGGCGTTACGACGGAGACGGCCGATAAGTTGGTCACCGCAGTATTGACGGGTATCAACCGTGCCGTGCCGTTTGTAGCCGAGCAAGATCCCATGTAAGCATTTGGTGTTCACTGGCTTCAGTCTTACGAAGATTCAAACAACTGACTTTCGTATGCAGCCTCGAATCCCAGATGGACACTCTTTTCCGAATTGCGCACTCGACGAACTTCAACACGAGCATTCAGGCGCTAATCCTCATCCAGCAAATATCCGTGTCAAGGCACCTGGCTTCCGACAGGTTCTACAGAACTCTGTACGAATCCTTGTTGGACCCGCGACTTGCCAACTCCTCTAAACAGGCCCTTTACCTAAACCTTATACTGAAGTCTCTCAAGGCCGATGTTGACACGAGGCGGATCAAGGCCTTTGCGAAGAGAATGTTGCAGATTCTCAACTTGCACCAACCTGCTTTCGTCTGTGGCTTGATATATGTGGTGTTTCAACTGCGGACTCAGTTCCCCGACCTTAGAGCACTCCTTGAGGAACCAGAGGATAACGATACAGAAGAGGCGACTGGCCAGCCCGTGGCAGAGGGGCAGAACACATCTATTTCCAGGGGAACGGTGTACGATGGCCGCAAGAGAAACCCAGAGCATAGCAACGCTCAGAATAGCTGTCTCTGGGAAACTGTAAGCTTGTATCCCTGTTTGATTTCATGAGAGTCGGGTCGCTAACAATGCAGATACCTCCCCTCACTCACTTCCACCCGTCCGTGTCTCTACTGGCCGCAAGTCTGTTCTCAAATGAGAAGCAGATGGCCAAACCAGACCTGGAGAGCCACAGCTTGATCAGATTCCTCGACAAATTCGTGTACCGCAGCCCCAAGTCGTCAGAGACTGCTAGGGGAGCATCAATCATGCAGCCGGTTCGCAATCCTGATTCTGGCAGCATCTGGCTCGCGAAAAGAACTGGCTCAGGCGCAGCCGCGCCAATCAACACACCTAAGTTCTGGAACAAGAAGGCAGACCAGGTCGCAGCGGAGGACATCTTCTTCCACGAATACTTCAAACAAGCGGGCAAGAAGGTTGAGGGTGGCAAAAAGATCACTGAACAATCGTCATCTGGACCAAACGAGGTCAGTGCCGAGGAAGACGCCGAACAAGAGGATGAGATCTGGAAGGCCCTGACTGCCTCGCATCCCGACGGCCCAATCGAGAGTGACGATGACGACCTTGACATGGATGGATTCGACGACAGCGATGAAGAGTCCGATGGCGGCGTTATATTTTCTGACGGTTCCGATGCCGAACTCTCGGATGGTGACGAAGATGACGATGACGACGAGGACACTGGCGAGCTTGACGATGAGGAAGGAGACGATGACGAGGCGATGGAGGATGAGGAGAGCCCTGAGCTATCTGGAGTACCAGGAGCGGCCGAGGAGACCAGCGAGAAGAGTAAGAGCACCGCTCGATCTTCCAGGAGGAAACTCAAGGACTTGCCTATGTTTGCGTCGGCAGATGATTATGCCGAGCTTTTGGCGGCAGACGAGGAGGACATGTAATTGGAGCAAGGAATTCGCAATGGAAATCATATTGTACATCTGGGCCAAGCAAGCCCATGAGACGAGGACATGTGGCCAACTTTATCTCGGCCGATCCCATATCTACCTAGGTGTCAAACCACTCGAGATCGTCATCTTTAGTGAATATGGCCCTGTACGTCTTATCCCCATCCGAATGCTCGGTCTCTTCCGTGTGAATGCTGTGAAACTTTGGCGGCTCAGCTCCAGGCACAAAAGCACGGAAGTGAATATAGGCAGGCCCAGACTCAGGTAGCGCTGGGATTCGGACCTTGCCAAATAGGTGGATTCCGTAAGCCGAACTGGCAACTCTTACGGCCACGAAGTTGTCTGGGCCGAAAGCGGCCAGTTGGTGGTCGTCGAGATGTTCCTGCGACTTGTCTGAGCGGGGATGATGGCAAGCAAAGGTGGGACAAAATGACTAGTGACTTACAACGGCCTGAAAATACTCGGGCTCATGCTCTGGTGATGGAGAATTAGCCTATGGCTTGATTCGGGCGGAAAATGCGACTTACTTTGGTGTTCACGTCGGATGTGGAGAAGTTCCTTTTTGAGATCATGCGCGATCTCTTGAAATACCTTGATGGACTCTTCCTTAGGCGCGTGCACAGCGCCTAGATCTACGGTTTCTGCTGTGGCCTAGAATTGAAGAAGCGCGGCAATCGGTCAGCTGGTGTCAACAAGATGGCAGGCCACTTGCACATCCGGCATGTGGAGAAACATGAAAGGTCTTACCATTGCGTATGTTGCTGCTGTGATTATCTGCTGAAATACCAGCAGCAGCCTTTGCGTGATGAGAGTTATTAGATGGGATGAGTTTGAGACGAAGTTGATTGACGGTGGATGCCAAAACCAAAAGAATCACCGCCTTACTTGTTGACGGTGGTGTCTTATTATAGTACCAGAAGCCTGGTCAAAGGTCAGATGAGGGGTATCCATTGGTACCAGGTCTCCAAGCTCGTCACGTTGCTTGCGTGTGCATCCGTACTTGGTCATTCAACTTTGAGGTCTGCCCAGGACCCCTGGAGCCACACGGACCGATGCCGCACGAGGGCCAACCACTGAGGTAAAGGGTGAACACCCCGTCCTGCTCGTCCGGAGTCTGATAGTTTTACGGAGAGAGATATGATGTCATGTGGCCGGGATCTTGTCTTGATCAAGTTCAAGGACCCTTATTGCCTAGAGTGTACAGGGGACCGCGCAAGGCTACGACACCAGAAGTTACATATACGTTATATCTACAGGAATAGTATGGCTCCAGGAGTCCAGAATGGAGGAGTGTGCCGTTGAAACAAGGCATCAGACAAGTGCGGGAAGTGGAAACTGTCTATCCGCATTCAGATCCAACTGAAAACCCCATGGATGAAATATAAAATTAATTAAAAAAAATTTTAATTTTTTTTAATTTTTAAATTTTTTTTTTTTAAATTTTTTTTTTGGCTAGGTGTGTTTTTTTCGCAGCGCTCGGTTAATGAACTGTCGTTTAGTGAAATTATACGAAATTTAGCCTCTAAGTGCTGGGACGGATTCCTATGCCGTATTAGGTATACCGCGCTTTCCCAGGTAAGATAGCCATAACGCTAGGTACTTACCTCAAGGTACCTCACTTCAACGGTTAAGCTACCCTGCACGTAGCCTCGGCATACGATTGGAGTGACAATCCGCGTCAAAGGTCAATCTTGACCTTCTCTCATGCCTCACACATCAATTGTAAGCTACAGCCTAGTTGCTCGACGGACCGGCTGTATCCATGGCAGCATCACCCTCTCTTCCGCTTCGGCGACTTCTTAAGCAGCCTGCAACATGGGCTCCCCCCAATACGACAGGCTTGCGAACCTCGGCCCGTCGCCAGCAGGTTTGGCTCCGATGCTATCACCAAGGCGTTAATGCAGGTACGTTGCTTTGTTTTTGATAGTCTCCCTAGGCTATAGCCCATTGAGCTGACAGTATGTTTTTGTAGGCGCAGCGTCGCAACCGACAAGCCCTTCCCGATTCCGCAAAGCTATCAGCTTTGGCGCGTTTGGACTGCTATTTGCAAGCCTGGGTTTCGTTGCAGCGGCGAGTCCCCTAGTGCCTGGTCTACTTGACGCAGCAAAACCCCGTTCCGATGAAGATACCTTGCGCGCCTACGTGCCCGAGAACGACGAGGCCGAAAAAGTGAATGATTTCATCAACAGTCACCCAATTGCGGTAGAGATGCGCCAGAACCCCGATATGACCGAATCTCGCCCCCACATGAAACTCCCCGATGCGCTGCGGCGGCATAATCTCACTGGCGGTACGCTTCTTGGACCTGGCCGGATTACAGTGCCCCCTGTATGCTGGACTGAAGAGGGAGGCAAGTCTCTCGTGTCAATCACCCATCTTGGTACAGATATTTGCGGTCACCCTGGCATTGTGCACGGTGGATTGCTTGCTACAATGCTTGACGAGGGACTGGCGCGATGCTGCTTCGGTGCTCTTCCACACAAGGTGGGCGTTACCGCTAAGCTTGAGATCAACTATAGAAAGCCAGTGCATGCAGGCACGTATGTCGTTTTGCGGGCGCGCACGACGAGAGTAGAGGGGCGTAAGGCATGGGTAGAGGGCCAGCTGGAAACGCTGCCAGTGGACGGAGAAGAGCCTCTTGTCCTGGCGCAAGCCTCTGCACTTTTTGTCTCTCCCAGATTTGCATCGGCGAGTGACCCTTTTTCTCACTGTTTGGATCATTGAGCCATAATACTAATATCTGGAAAGGTCATGGCGAAGCTGAACGCGACTTAAGGTCTTCGCAAACTGGAGCGCGACCTTTCGATTCTTAAGGTACTCACACCGAATTTCCACTAGTCGGAGGGAATGCGCTGAGATAAATGGACAGAAGAGACGGTGCCAAATCCGTAGGGGGTTTTGCGAGAGCTCTACTGACTGAGCTGAAAGCGCATGTTCAACCCGATCCGATATATATAGAGACCATCCAAGCCAGTAGACCGCCAATCCTCTTGTAAGGCAGATGGATTGGTAGATGGCTTTTAAGGGTGCGCACAGAATAGCCCCCTCTCAGACTAGCAGCATGTGGTGGATAGGCTATAGATGGCCCCGCGACCCAGCTTGAGCTGATAGACAGCTTGCAACTGAGGAAGTGTGGCCGGTGAAGAGAGATGGATGCTAATCAGCATAAAGTTCAACTGATTTTTCTCTTTTGGTGGAATGAACGACTCTAATTGAGGATAGTTGTGATGTTTAAACTAAACATGTCTTCCGCAAGGTAGTCACGGGAGGTCACTGGGTAAGTCGGAGGAGGCTTCGGCACCGACGTGAAGCGCGGCGCGGCATCCGGGAACGGAGCGGGAGTCGGCACTCGGCCAGTCGGAGGCAGTACTTCAAAATGGGCCAGGAACCAGCTAGATTACAGGCCTCTGACGTGTAAGGTCCCGCCAAGCGATGATCCACCTCTAGCCGATCTGACGCCATCGCTCGGCGCAGACTCGCAGTGCTCCGGTACGGAGCTCATGCATGATGCTGCGGATTCCATTCATTTTTTCTTACTGCGTTATGGGTCATTGGGTGCTTACCTACGAGTATCCGTAAGGTACGGAGCCTTGATGTGGAATGGGCCAAAGCCGTGCAAAGTACCTCTCTTGTGATGCCACTCTTTACTCTGTAGTATTTGGGAGTTCTGGGTACATCGCCCGGCTCTGACTTCTCCGTGATCTTAGCTTGTGAAGTGAAAAACAAGAGGGAAAAATGGAGGGGGAGGAGGTGGGGTGAAAAGCAACCACCCTACTCGGTCCGTTGTCGTGAGAGTTGTGTGTCGCGCGCATCTGTGTATATGTATGAGTAGTTGCCGCTGCGCCTGGTTCCATTTCATACTTTCCATTCCTTCAACACCATTCTCCCCTTTAGTCCTTACCACCAGATACCCAATCGAATTCACAATGGCCACGTAAGTATGGATAAATCTTCAAATCCAGTTTCCGTCTTGACGGGACCGAAATTACCCCTCTATGATTTCCTTTCGTTATCCCACCGACCCCGCAGTCGTCGCGCCTGCTTGCGATAAATGCTCTCCAGCTCTTTGCCTTCACGTCCGCAACTCGATAGCCGGCAGAATGGCGAAAAAATTGGCTGACGTTTGGTCTCCGACATAATAGCAACATTACATGGCACCCATCACTCTCGCGCTCTGAGCGTAACCAGCTGCGCGGCCAGCGTGGTTTCACCCTCTGGCTGACAGGACTGTCCGCCTCTGGCAAGTCTACCGTAGCCACCGCTCTGGAGCAGCACCTCTTGCACCTAGGAGTTGCCGCCTACCGTTTGGACGGCGACAACGTTCGCTTTGGCCTCAACAAAGATCTCGGTTTCTCTGAGAAAGACCGCAATGAGAACATCCGTCGCATTGCTGAGGTATGGTCATTTACTCTACCCTTTGGACTCCATCTTCCAACCTAGGCACGGCCGTCCGTAGCGAGTGCACGACTAATACCGCCACAGGTTGCCAAGCTGTTTGCCGATTCTTCGACTGTTGCCATTACCTCCTTCATCTCGCCCTATCGTGCAGACCGCCAAGTAGCTCGCGAGCTGCACAGCCAGACTGGCCAGAGCACCAACGAGGCCATTCCATTCATCGAGGTATTTGTCGACGTGCCTCTCGAAGTTGCCGAGCAGCGTGACCCCAAGGGTCTGTACAAAAAGGCTAGGGCGGGAGAGATCAAGGATTTCACCGGCATTTCGGCCCCCTACGAGGCACCCGAGAAGCCCGAAATCGTCATTAGGACCGACAAGTCGAGCGTTGAGGAATGTGTGGCACAGATTGCCGAGTGGCTGATCAAGGAGGGTCTCATTACTACGAGTAAAACAGCCTGATGTGTACGGTCCTACGATTGCATGGGCGGCCGACTCTCATCTTGTTTTAACTAGGAGTTATCAACCGGCAATAGCCTAGAGCTTTCTAACCACGGTTCAACTGCCCCCTTTAAACATACCACGCGTTTTCAGTGCAAGCTTGCGTCTGAAATGCGGGAGCGCATGCACCCGCCATGCTGCAATTGTGTAGTTCCACGTAACTAAGGGAAGTCAAACTCGTAGTAAACGTAGGCCGTGTACTCATGTCCCTCGCCTCCGCCAAGCCCAACAGCAGCCATCTCGGACGACAATGCTGCGTCGTCTTTGGTGATTTTCCCGCGCTTGTCTCTGCCAAAGGCATTGCCTCCTAGGTACGAGTAGTTAGAGTCCAGTGCTGTCTTGACCTTCTTGACAAGCTTCGAATTCGTCTGTCCATCGAGTTAGCATACTGAGCAATGATTCGAACGAGAGATAGGGGTACTGACCTTGACAAGGACACTGACATAATCGAGCGGAAGTCCATAGCGGAGAACAGCCTCGACAAATACGCGCAATGCGAGCACATGCAGCCAGATCATGACGCTCTCGCTCCAGCCTGTCCGGCCGATTCTCAGAGCCTCTCCCCATGTCTTCTTCTCTTCACGAGCCACCCGGTCAAGCTCACGTTGCTCTTCTTCCTTTCCGCCCTCCACGTACTTGTATTGGCGTGGAGTCCATTTTTGCTCGCGACACTTCGCCAGGAACTCGGCACTGTGTTTTTTGAATGACGTGGCGGCGTACAAGGTGAACTCTTCATCCGTCGCAACCTGCACGGCAGACCGGGGGACCACCATCGGCGCCAGTGTTTCGTAACTCTTCAAGAAGTCTTTCTTTGCATTGTTCGGCACAACAACAAGGTGCGTCTCTAGGTATTCCGAGTCTTGGATAAGGAGCGCGGGATCGACGACGGGAGTGAGGGACTTTGTCGCAAGGTTGCCACTACAATACCGCTATCAGCTATTCATTCGGCGTTGAGCCAGAAGGAGGAAGGTTAGGCCTCGGAAGTAATACGTACGTCTGCTTGCGCTGGAGAGTGGTGAAGTTTGTCTTGACTGAGTTATACTGGTTGAACTTGCTCTTGACATCGTTGTCGGTAGTGACAAGTTCCTGGCGGTTCATTAGTTTCCTTTGGACCGAATCTCGGGATGGCACCCCAGATTCACGCCAGCGAGACAAGCGCTGTACAACAAAGTCCCACTGCGAATCGGTTGGCCCTAGTCCGCCCTCTCTCCACGTACCTTTTGCAGTGTATCAACGAGTTCGCTCAAGGGTTTATCGGCGCGGTATCGGACCTTGTTCCAGGAAAACGAGTTGACGTACTGGTCGGTAGGCTCTGAGAAACAACCGCCATTAGCAAGATGTACACGATGTTTGTGAATCATGCAGCAGCAACGAGACGGTGCCCTAGACGTTTCTTACTATCGTTGACCATCTTCTGCTGGGAAATTTTGTCCTCATCACCATCGAGGATTGACTTCAATGAGTCGGCAACCTTGGCAACAACAGCCTCGCAGGTGGACTCCAACTTGGCAAGGTCGTCGGCTTGTTGGACCAAGGCATCCAGGGTGCCGATCTTGAAATCGGGGATGTTGAAGGGGCGGGCACTACCATTTTCGGCTGAAATGGTAGCGCTCAACGCGGAGATGGCGTCGTCCTTATCTCCAGAATCGAAGATGCCGAGAGGCAGAGAGACGAGGGCATATTTGGTAGACATGCTTCTTGAACTGGATCGGACGCCGGCTAGCTAACCATGCGGCTATGTCAGAGCCTCGGAGGGTCTAGGTCAATGAGGCGAGGTAAGGTTACGGTAGGTGAGGTCGAGAGAGCTATCGGAAGGTAGGCGGAGTTAGTTGGGTCGGCCGATGCACTCAAAGGGAAGGTAGAAGATGAGAAGCTGTCAACTTACCTGGAGGCTGGGGTTTTGAGCAACACCCGCTAATGAGCAATAAGTAGGTATGCCAACTCCAGTAGAGAAATCGCACATGAGTAGGTAGCTAGGTATGATGTTGTCAATTGAGGGCCGGGGCGGGATGAAATGCAGCACCGCCTACGGATACCTTACCTAGATAGTAGTGGAGGAGAGGACCTTGGGTGCTGCTAAGCTGAGGCCAGCCTCTGAGCCTACGGCCTTGCTCCATGTAGCCCCCTACCTGCGCAACGGTAAACTGCGAACAAGGTACGCACCGCAATGCCCGTTTTGAAGTACAAACTGGGATTACTTGGGTGGGAAAGGTACGCATCCCACTTGGCCACAATCAGGTACCTAGACTCCTCGCCATCTAGTGGGGCGCAGTAGTCGAGTACCTTAGCACCCACGCACCTTACGGAGTAGGTACCTCAAAGCTGGGCGGTGGTTCGTCACTCGCACTGCGATAATCTGATAGGAAGGTAGCCAGCGGGTCTGCTGCCATTTCCACCAGCTAATAAGCTGGTGGGTGGTAGCCTACCTTACTGGACATGGAAAGCTGCTAATAAATGCTCTACCTAGCTTGACCTCTCCGCTCGACGTCCCGATGTTGTCCAACGCTGCTCACGCCATACCTTCTCAACTTCGACAGCCACTGCGCCTTCGCAGAGCGTAAGTCTTGTTCAGATATCGCCCAGCGGGTTCTGGTTCCTTGTCTATCTCCCCTTCTGGTTCTTCACCCATCGCGAATGCGCACCGCTAGATTTCATTGTCGCTAATTCATCGTGGCTCCAGACGATCGAGGGTTTCTCGCTTTGGTACGATCTAAGTCGCTACTTCGGCCGAATCGAACAACGATGACGATCAGCTCGTGCCGTTGGATTGTCAAAGAGAGAAGCTGACCCGGCAAGTTACCACATGCTGTCGAGCGGCCTTGGTGATCCATTCAGGGTTCCGTGATGCCCTCTTGCAACCGCGAGTTGTAGCATACGTATTTATTACCATTTGGATCAAGGGCCGGACGAGACTTCTTGCCGCGGGAGAAAGCCCACGAGACACGGCTGTGCTCCAATTCTTCTTTGAGGGACGATGCTGAGCCTGTGATGCGCTTGCCGTCCACAGCCATGGCCACAACTGCAGGTAGGTGCAAAGCATGAAGCGGGCTGTTTCTGCGTCCCGACTAATCGTATTCTGCAAAGCATCTCCTCAACCCTCACACCCTGCGCGACCCCCTACACCTCTTGCTGATACCTCTACCGCCACCGGCACTGGCACCGGCACGGACACCGCTGCTGGCACTCGCAATGGTTCTGCATCGCAAACCCCTTTATTGGGCGTTACGAGTGAAGGAGGTTTGTAGACTATTTCTATCTCTTCAATGCTCCTGTCTATTGGACGCTCGAGTAGGAACACTGACGAGACGTGGCTGACATTCAAGCTGTAGGTGCGGCCAATGGATTCGGTGTCTTGCAACATACTGGCCCGCCGGTACAGGATGATATCCCAGGCCTTTACAGAGATGGACGTGTACGTAACCCTGTGCCCAGTAAGCTGAAGGGCAAGACCGATGCGTCGAAAGGAAACTTTGGAGTCATGCACATAGACCTCACAACTACCAACGAAAGTAGGGAGCGTGATGCAGCAGCCAAACGCACGAGTGAGGGAACGCAGCTTGCGGCCAGACTGGCCCAAACGGACCGTTACGTTCCAATCAGACGGAGCAAATTTGTCTATCGACCAGAAGTACATGCCTCGAATAGTCCACCGCAGCTCAACGCTCCGCAACCGAACGCACCGCAACTCAATAAACCGCAGCAAAATGCACCACAGCTAAATACACCGCAGCTGAATGTGCAAGTCAATGCGCCGCAGCTAAATGCACCGCAATCCAATAAACCGCAACTCAACAAACCATGGCCCCATAGACCGTCGCTCACTACGCCGCAGCTGAATGCACCGCAACTCGATACACCGCAGCTCAGCCGACCGCAGCTCAATGCGCCATATAATAGAGAGCCTGTCGGAGAAACAGCCCGCCAGGGGAAGAGGACCTCGGCACTCACAGCCGCGGAGACGACAGCTGAACAAGCTCGACTCTTGACTCTGTTACGAAGCCTGGACCCTGATCTGGTTGTTGACCAGCTCTGCAAGGGACTGGAATTCTTTGGAGGAGTTGCCAGCGAGCACACATCACCTGGCGGATCATTTCCGGTCAGCGCCGAGGCGAATGGGTCTGGGTCTCTCTTTGTTGGCTGGCTGGCAGAGATCTTTCCGGCTCTAGGCCAGGAGCCACTACCGAGCGCACAACAAACGAACTTGAGACGACCACGTGGTCGTCCCAAAGGAAGCAGAAATGCGAAGGGAAAGCAAGTTGATCATGTTGGGCAGCGACTGGCTTCGGGAGCTCGTGCAGCAGGAGCAACAACGGACAACAGTGCGGTTGATGACACGGTGGAAAGAGCTGCGGTTGATGATAGCTGGGTCGATGTTGATGACACTGTTGCAGATACTGAAGGAGAGAACTCGCAAGTGAACGTCGAGCGGGTGGTAACGACTCCAGCTTCTAGTCGGGCAGTATCCGGCCCAGGCGCTTCCGGTGGAATGCCGGAATCTGGCTCCACTCAGACCTCGACAATCACGCCGACCCCTAAGCGAAGAGGGAGACCCAAAGGCTCAAAAAACCGACCGAAAGATGTGGCGCCCTTAGCTGACGATGCTCCTGAGGATACAAATGGTGTATCTGAGAGCCCAGCGATAGTACAGTCAACGGCAGTTAATCCTCCCGAATCATCAAGCACAACCGGCGGTCTTGGTGAGCTCGGAACATCGCACGTCAAGAAACGTAAGGGAGGCCCTGGCCGTCCTAAGGGATCCAAGAATCGACCGAAAGAATCGGTAATTGTGCCTGACTCTCAACCTCAACCACCACCGCCTACATCGGTTGCAAACGACCAACGAAGTGGGCCACAGTCCGCCGTAGTGGGTGATTCGGATCTGGCGGTGCCTGCTGCTAATTCCACATCATCTACCCGAGGCCAACATCACGATGTGGAACCTGGCAATCAAGTGAATATGGCTTCTCAGCCGGCGCCGGAGACTATCAGCGAACCTGCTGCCGCGAAGCCACAAGCTAGCGAAGCCTACAGAGCTGCAAAGCGCAAAAGGAAGGCTTCTCAAGAAGGCAGAAACAGCAATGCCGGTAATGAGTCGCTGACAGCTGCCTCAGCTTCAGATCAAAATCATGCCGGTGGGCTTACTGCAATCACCAGCGAGAGCCCTTCATCGCCGCAGATGACCCGGTCTCAAGGATCACGAGTTCAGGATCGCACGCAGGCCCATCAACCAGTGACCAAGAGACAGAAATTACCGGGTCATCAGCACCAAGATGCTGCCTCAAACAGCCGAATGACGCAAGCTAGCCAGAATAGTCAGACTGGACAAAGGGGCCAGCGCGGGTCACAATCGATAGAGTCAACGCGGACAACCCTTCAAAACAGCAGCCTCATAGATGCAAATACTACTAATTTGCAGAGGTCAAGGAATCAGATGAGCGGCTCTGCAAACCGATCATCGCTCCAACAGCCCGTCGACACGCAGCAACCTCAGTCTGATCTGCGACTTCGATACAGCCAGAGCCTCGCAGCCTCATCCGCCAGCCGAGGAGTCGAAAGGGCCGAGGCAGCGGAACCCTACTCGTTGAACGTATCATCAAGGCAAGGCATGTACGATCAAGGCGGTTTGGCTCAGGAGCAACAGCATCAACATCTCTTCCATCAGCAAGAGCAACACCGGCCCATTTTACAGAACCGACCTAATGGCAGTCAGCACCGCCTTAGCAGCTCGGGTACCGGCCAAATTCCGTCAACACTAGGGCAAAATGGGGACAACTATACAGAGTCTACAAGTGACGCAGAGTATCACGGGCTAGTGGGCCTTCAGCAGCCTACGTATAGCACCCACATGACCGGATCCGCGAGCACGCGAGAAGACAGCTACCGTTCTTCGACGCCACGGCCGATACAGCATCAATCTTCTACATTACACGCACGGCAGGAACACCCAGTGCAGAATACGGCAATGTCGTCTTATCAGGACTATTCCGACTCGGCATTTTTGGCGAGTCTGACAACGGTTAATCAAGCCAGCTTGGCAATGAGCCCCACACAATACAATGTCAACGGTGCGGAGATGCAGCGTGCATCGCCGAACATTAACTCAACGTATGGCTCGTCACATTTGGGCCAGTCGTCTTTTGATGGCAGCATGACAGAATCTGCAATGAGAGAACGCATGTATCATACTTCGAGACGTCAGTAGATAAAGACGTAGCTGCAACGAGCGCCCGCCTCTTGCGCCGCCTCTAGGTACATTGTGTTATTGGCACCTTGCCCCGACTGACTTCTATGGTTGTCACGACGGCCGTTGTCAAGGGCTTAGGCTGGATTCCCTGCCCTCTACCTATGGGGGCGCGCCACGGAAGACTTGCGCCAAACATTTGGGTGGCCTTCTCAATGGTGATTTAAAGCAACGTCTGGCACAAAGATCAAGCTGGGTCGATGCGCCTCCATCGCATGGGTGAAGAACGAGTGCATGCACGTTGGTAATCCGCGACAGGCCTGTATGGGAAAAGAGCATGTTGTTCATCAAGTGAATTGTTTGACTTGACTATGGGCAAGCGAATGCCAATCGGTCCTGGCTATGACAAGACTATAAAACTAAATGGAAGACAGTTTGATGTTGGTATCTTTATCCAGATCCCAGGTATTGCACCCCTCTCCATGCTGGCCCGAACAAAAGAGAATGATGGGGAAAATAAAGAGTCAAATATCCAAAGACAAGCTCCGCTTGAGTTCCAATGGGCCAAATTCCAGGCCAACCTTAACGCCCTTAAATGCTCAACACGACACGCCGGTTCTCATGCGCCGTCCATGGCATCTTCATCTATCGCTTCGAGCGGAGGACGAATGGATTCCGGTGTACTTCGTCCGTACCACCACTCATCCTCCTCGTCCATGCCATCATCGCGGATTAATTCCAACATTACTTGTGCATTGCGTTTGATATCCTGGGTACGCTCAACGATGCCCCGCTCTAATATCAAAGCTTCCGCAGTTTTGAGCCAGATCTCTTGCAAGCTAGGGAGGTCAGCTAGTACGTGTCGGACGTGCTCACGCTCCAGCGGTCCCATGGGCATGCCGGCTGACAGACTTGTGTTGAATACCAAGTTCGTATCGGAATCGACTGGATCTTCTAGAGAAGCCCGGGAGGCACGGCGCGCTGATATTCCATCATGTTGTGTCGACTTGGTAGAATCTTTGACCGAAATGGAAGACTTCTTTCGGCCCATGCCCATAATACCGCGTCGCTGTTTTGGGGTTGGGTCGATCGGGTCCTTGGCGACACAGTTGTACCAAACGTCAACAGCTCCCCGCCTGCTGTTGTATCCCTTTATCTCCCAAAGCCTCTCCACTTGTCGCAAGCCTCCAACACACAGAATGGCGACGTGAACCTCATCTGGAGGTCTTTCCTTCAGGTAGCCTCGCAACGATCTTTCAACACGCCCGGCATAAGATGGCGGGCGTAACCGTCGGCAAAATGACGAGATGACCAGAGGGAAGACTTGGTGGACTCGCAAAAGCGTCTGATCGTCGTACATATTCATGATCCGAGTCTCAATCGGATTCAGTGTAAATGGCTCGTGCAGCAAGCCATGACCATTGTGGTCGAGGATGTGTTGTAAGTGCAGCTTTCGATAGGTTTCGAAGAAATGGAACAAGGTGAAAAGAAGTGGTATCAGGCGACGACGCATACGTTCATGTTGAGGGGCGAACTCGAGGCGCTGTGATTCCGTTGTTCTGAGGAAGATTTCTTTGGTAATCCATTCGCACATGAGGTATGATAATTTCGCGGCGACGTGCAAACGATGCCACAAGCCGCACAGGTGATGGAAATTGGCGGCGGTAGATTCGTTAGACGGGTAAAGACGCAAGGCGTATGCCGGAATGTGACGTTCCAAATGGTGGCGAACGATGGGCGCCTCGTTTAATGTCACAATAGCGTGCCAGGATTTCGAGACTTTGCGAAGATTCAAGACATCCGTCAATGGCAGTGATGAAATGACTTGAATCTGAAGCTCAGTAGGCAGCGCTAGAAACAATTGGCCAAGGGATTGCCTAGCGATATGTTAGAACTGGTAGCTGTAACCGCACGTCGGCTCTAGGAGAGGATGGCTAACGTCTTTGGCTTCGCGAACGCTGTGTACTGTTCACGGTGATCTGCCTGCGATGTTGACTTGTTTTGGAGGATCGAGACCTTGGATCTCAGACTGAACAATCGGCTCTTCTCGGTACGCTTCTGATCTGAGGGTCGGGGGTTCTCGGCATTGGCTTCGTTTGACTTGGACGTTCGTAATGGCAGAATAAAGGTAGATGTAGACTGAGACGAAATCGGCGGGGATGGGTACGGTTGAGAGGATGGCGTCTGAGGATTGCGTAATTGGTGAAGCTGCTGGGCTTCGCGGGTCGCAGGGGACTCATTGAGCTGATTGAGTTTGCTGAAGTAGCGCTCGGAAGCGAACTCGGTGATATGCGGCGGATCCATGTTAGTGCTATCGCGCTGGACGATGGCTCAGCCTGGAATAAGAGAAAACGAGGTATAGAAAGTCCAGCATAAGGTCGCGGTACGCTGTGTTGAGAACCGGGGGGTTAACGACGGGCGGGAATCGGAGAGTCGACGATGCCGTGCATTCGCGGCTCAAACATGGCTGAACATTGAAGATATCGACAGTGGTTCGGAAGCGGAAATAATCGTAGGGAGTGATTTAAACGAACAGGCTTGCGCCCGGCGTCGATTGGGATGGTATATTCGAGAGTGCAGACTTCGAGAGTCGATAGCGAGGGGGTCGAATCCAACGACAACGGTAATGTAGGAGGGTATCGAGACTGGATGTCCGAGAAGATGGGCCGAGGGGGGACGAGTCGGAGCAAGAGGCGAAGAAATATGGCGAATGAGCGTAGGCGACAAAGACGAGTCGAATAAGGAGATGAAAGACGAACGATAGTGTTGTAGAGACACGGGACGTTGTGGTGTCGTTTTGGGCGTGATGGTCAAAGTTGCTTGGGATATGAGGATGCGAGGAAGAAATGGAGGAGGAGGAGGGAGGGGGCACAGAGAGAGCGCGAGGGTGCTGGAGAGGCCCGTCAAAGTCGGGTCACTTTCTGGCAGGCAGTACGTTCGGCACCTGGCAGTGGGAGAAAAGCGGTGGTGGTGCAGTCAGGCTTAGGTTCCTTGAATCCTTGGTGGGTGGATGAGAGTGGGTAGAACCGTAGAACCTCTCTGTGGGCGACGTCGGTATGCACGAATGGTACCTAACGTAAGGTATGGGTATGGTCAAGCCTGGGGAACTTGGTAGATACTGACAGTCACCTCAGTCTGTAGGCGCAGACGCGGGTAAGGCGATGGTGAGGCTTTGGTAGGTACGGATAGAGAAGAGACAACGAGAGTAGTAGAGTGGAACTGAAGGCCAGGAACGGGAGAGAGGTAGATGCAAGAAAGCGAGAGAGGGATCGGCTATTCGCTGATGCTGGGTGGCCCGGCGGTATGTGCGGTGAATTAGTGGAGGTCCAAGTGAAGAAGGGCACCTGCTGGCCTAGGGGGGGGGTGATGATCCCGAAGCGGCGTTTGGCACTGTGATGCAACGGCGCTGACTGGCTGCGTCTTCGGAGAAGTAAGGGCCGTAGAAGCGTCTTTTAGGGGGTACCTCACTTAACTTACCTATCAATTGTGGGTATTTTACCGTGTATCTTTTTCTTCACTACCACAGTATGATGGGCGTGGACGACGGAAGCGAAAGAGAGCGGCCGAGGAAAGCACCGTAAAGGTGCGCGGACGAAGCTTTTCATCCCCACAGCCTGGCAAGCCGCAAGTGAAAGTCGCATGCTTTTTTTTTTTTTTTTTTTTTTTTTTACATAGAGTACATCTGGTGCGGGCTTCTTCCTTCCTTCATTTTTTCCCGCTTTAGTCACTAATTGACCCTTGACTCTATCCGTGGATGTCTCTTCATCCATTTTGCCATCGGGTCTGGAGTACGAATACATATACGAAGGCTAGGTACACCAACCACTTGACTCGAGCGGCAACTGCAATTGCGAATGTCATAATGACAATCTAGCAGGTTTCCATCGGCGAGATAGGTACGTACTAATTCAGATACACGGTTGTCTTTTCGTCCTTCGTAGGTATCTTCTCATTTCGCAGTTCAACATACGACTTCCATTCCTCGGCTGTTCTACGGGCCCTATGGCGGTTCTTCGTCTCCATTTCCCATGGAAGCCATCTTCAAGACCCACGCGTTGATCCCGGGGCCCGGGGAACTGAAGGTGAACCCGCCCGATGCCGCTCAAACTTCTTCGCCGTGTATCAAGCCTTTGCCATCAACTACATACGACCAAGCAGCCACGCAGCTTGGTGGTTTGGCTTGGGAATACTAAAGGCTCCTCTCGGCCATCGTCCCGTGTTGAGTGGGCGATGGTCCATGGCTACCTTTAGTTCAGCGGGCGCAAAGAGGTATTCCTAGACGGTTTGCACCGATGCAGTACCGGGTTGTGCAAACGACCTAGGAGAGAAGCCCGACAGAGATCCAGGCGGAGCCTCTACGGCGGGATGCTCTCGCTCTTTTTCCCATTGGTTCATTGGTGTTGCAAAGCCCGATTCGATGCTATCACGGATAGATGCTTTGCCTTTTCCAAGGCTGCTAATTGGAAATGGTCTCAGTCGCCCTAGAAGTGCCTGGACCGACTTTGATGATCCAGGGCCGATTGCAAAATACGCCCGAGACAATACCGTACCAAGTGCTTCATCGGAGACAAGTCCATCCGCATGCACTAGGCAGTGGCAGTCTGGAAACTTTTCTCTATCGGCGGGTATATCAATCCTATGACGTGCAAGAAAGTAATGTGAACCAGATGAAGTCCACGTTAAGCATGCCGGTACTGATCCTTATTCATCAATCATAATGTCCCATGTTTCGTCTCATTCTCGCGGTACTTTTTCGCAGCCGGCCGGAATGAGACGGCCAGCGGGCTGCGGGCATCGCCGGCACCACCGATCCGGGCTCATTGTTTTTCACGCCTTCTTCATGTATCCGTACGAAGTACACACGGGTGGCTTCTATGCTTCGCGGTGCGCCACAAAGTAAGTAGTGAAGTACGGAGTACACCGGGACACAGAGCGCGCACCGCCCACAAAAACTTGCCATACGAATGATTCGGACGGAGACATATGTTATCGAAGACACAATGCCTACCTGAGGTGTCTTGGAAGGTATGTGATCGTGGTAAGGAACCTAAAGTGAAGGAGATACGCCCAACGCATACATTTCCCACCTTGCGCATGCTTATTAAGGGCCAGATACTACAAAAGCATCTATCAAATTCGTGATGAAAACACTTGTCAGTGTTCCGTACAGTATCTACGATTACCTTAGCTGCTGGTACCTTATACTCGCACTTGTTCACGCTGCACCTTAGATAGCAAACCCAGATGGAATTTAGCACCTGTTGTGAAGTTACGAAGTCAATGTCTGTCAGTGCCAACTTGAACAAGGCCCATGGGGTCAAATGGAACGCGGTAGATTGGACCGAAGTGGCCGAAGTTGAAGCGATGGAACTGACACAAGCGGCTAGGCGCTGTCTCGGATGGACAAGCTGCGTTGGACGCAGCGGGGGGAACGGGGACAGTGGGGTGTACGAATACCGGGGAAGTAAAGTAAACCGTAAGTGCTACGGTGCCACAGTACCAGTTTGACCTCCCGCCAGGCTCAGCCCAATCATGAACACTGTAACTCAAAAGAGTGAGGTACCTCGATGCCGTGATGCAATTGGAAGATACGGTGGTAGGTACTTGTGAGGAAGTACCGTCAGAAAAGTCCAGATGGCGTGGTGGAGCGCCCCTCGGGCCTACCGCGGCCTTTCTGTTCTCTTAGGTTCTTAGTCTTCGCCCTTCCCTCCCCTCCGCATTCGTCACAGCCGATAATTTCTCCCTCCAACCTTTCAGGTCGTTTTCCGGCCGCTTGGCCACCTTTGGTGGATTACCTTTCCCTTCAAGTACCGTTATCCGCTCCGCTCTCAAGTGGCTAGTGAGTAACGTTTTACCGGCTCCATACGTACGCATCCGCACTCCTCCATACCGCACGGGAGCAGTAAAGAGAGGGAGGTCTAGCACTTTATAACATTATTCCGGTTGACCATCAGGCGCTCAGCGCTACGGACTACTGGAATAGGAAGGCGCATCGCTCGACTCAACGTGACTGACTGCATCATCGGAGTAGTATGTACATTGCCCTACAGATACGGGGCCGTGCTCCCTCTGTATTCCCGGTCCAATCCCAACGGGACCTGCACCTTGCACCCACTCGTAAACATCGAAAAATTGAGCGACTCAACCCACAAAGAGAACCTGGAACTTGAGTACTCGAAGCGCCATCGTCATTTGCCTACACGAAAGACATGTATCCGTCCTGTTGGTCAATCATGGTGCCGTCTTCCTTGGCCAGCTTCCCAGTATCCATTCACTAGCGGGCATCGACATCGGCCGAGAATACCCCGTGGATATGTGGGATTCTCTCCGCTCGTGGTCACAGGTTGCAACTCCCCTCTCAAACTTCTCCAGCTTTATCACAAATTTACACAATGATTGCACCTCCAGGCCCCATCCCCTCAATATTACTCCGCGTTTCCTCCGCTCTCTGAGCTGCTCCAGGGCCCAGGGACCAGGACAAATACTATCCGTAAGTACTGGCGGGTCTGTATCACCTTTAAACAGCCACACAGCCATGAATGCCAACCGTACTTTTGTACCTACCTGATTACCGACTGGGCGGCGAGGCCCGTACCTCTTGTTCACTAATAACAAGGGACCTTGTGATGCCGCGATACGCCTGGATTCACCTGGCATGTACGGAGTGAGGTATACGGACCTGCTTCCACGTTGATTCGTGATTTGTTTCCCGCCAGAACACCTAGTTCACTACCTTCTTATTCAGGTGTCACTCGATTACGTATCCTGAAAATAAGGGATGCTCTGTGAAGTTTCTCACAAGTAATAATCACGAATCTTCAATCGTGCCCGTGGCGTCAATCGCCTCCGCCACAACGGTCCGTACCTGATTGAACTGCACCCATCTCCGTCTCCGCATCCCACTCATCGCCAAGTCCGGGAACTTCCTCCTTTGAACTCATCTTAGTCATTGGTTTGTGCCGCTTCATCTACACCAGTGCAAACACCTCTGTCTCCTCCTCCGTCTCGAATCATTCGTCTTCATCAGAGACCAGACTCCGTTGTCGATTAACCACCTAGAACCCGTACCCCGGCTCAATCGCTGCACATAATTGCCACAATTGACTCGGCTCTGACGGATAGTTTTCACTGGCCGATAACGTCTGCTTTTCCTGTCCGGCGCTGACGGGGAAAGTACGCTATGCATGAGCAGTCTGAGTCTCTTACGCGCCTCGGTACTTGAGCAGGCCGCAAAACGCCCGGCCCCGCACCGCCTCGTGCCCGCAAAAACCACCTCACGCCGGACCACAATCGGGTCAGGACCGGAAGGAGACAGAGATATGGGGACGCTAGGTAGCACTCGGGCTTCCTCGCCACCTCAAGTTACGTCGACTAGAACGCATCTTCCCGGTCCGCCAACAAGCACCGATCCCGATTCTGCCGCCGACACTGCACCCTTTGCCCTGGGCCGGTTTGAGTTCGAGACGGGCAAGGGTAATGAGGGCACCAAGATCCTGATGGTGGAATGGGACCCCTCGATATCTCCGGCTTTCTCTGCGCCGGGATCCGACCTCTCATCACCGCCAACCAAGTCTTGGGACGTTTCATGGGATGGTAAGACAACCCATCTTCCAGCAAGCGACGACGTCAAAGGAACGCATAAGCGCGTGTACTTCCTACTTCCCCCGGGTGCCATTGTTCCTCCCACCGTTGCCATTACTCATCCTGACGGTACCGCCCTCACCATCAAACCCCTTCCGGCCATCTTCCCGCCAGGCCTGGCTGCCAGTGAATTAGAAACTGGAACACGTGGGGTTCTTCACACCATCTGGGCCAAGAAGAGACTCCGTGAACTTCAACAAGAGATCGATGCTGAGAAAATGACAAACGCCGAAAGCGTTGGCTTAGAAATGGTGCTCCAGGAGCAGCAATGGGTCGTCGATCACTTTGGTCTTACTCCGAATGACAACGCCGTTGAAGGCCGGACGACGTCCGCATCACAGACTCTACCTGGTCCCATCTCTCCTCATACTCCTACGGGTGGCCGACTGGGAGAGAAGCTCAAGGGACTGAAACTCGCGACCTCTGTAGTAGATTTGATTGCTGGATCGGCTGGTGAGATGCCCGATGAATATCGTTGTACACATTCACCAAGCATGACTGACCTGGGAATCGCAGACAAGAACGCGCATCTTCGGCCCATATCGTTCTCGCCCGCCCCTAATGACGTGACTGTTCACTCCTCCTCCAACCCTGCGCGGGAGACGACGACTGCCAACCCGTCACTCGGAGGCTCAGCATCGTTGGACGCCATGCTCGCAGGAACCGGCCTTCACTCGAGGCAGCAAGACCAGGACCAGGAGGAGGAGCTTTTTGCACTTCCGATGAGCCCTCGTAGTCCTGAGATGAAACGGAGCCCCTTCAGCTTCGCTTGAAGGTAGTGGTTGTTCCGCGGCCAACACCACTTCCCGCTCCAATGAATTTGAATATGATGCTTAGGGAAAGGGGGGCTGCGATATCCCTTGGACATTTCTCGTATGTGAGCGAATACAAAGGATGACAGCTGGATATGTACAGCACACCTTCGTAGACGGACCACGAACGCCCAGACAGGACTCATACGCTGCACGTCATAGCGTTTTTATTGTCATTTTTGCCATATTTCGTTAGCATGTAGGAGAGTAGCCTACATGCTTTCTTTCCACTCTTCCATTCTATAGAACGTTTCTTCCAGATATCTGCTAGTGGGATGTAGGCCTTCACGTTGCGTCCTCGCCAACAATACTACCACCGAGGAGCAACATTAGAAAGAAGCAGAAAAGTCATCGATATCCCATCGCGGTGGTTATCTTCGCTAGTTCCCATTCCTCGGTACAGCCAAGTGAGTCGCTTTCAATATTGGGGGGCCACCTTCCCCATTTCGCCTTCACTTGAAACCCCCAAACCCGTTGCCGGACTCGTTTCCATTTTATCTCCAGCCACCAACGCGACCTTCGTCCCACCGCTCCTTCCTCTCCTGCCGAAGATAGTAAAGCACCTTGGCGTCTCGATATCTCTTGATCCAGTCTAACGTCTCTCTCTCTGACGCATACGCGCCGTCTCCCTCCCCGTCGATAAAGCTCTCCTCTAGGACATGGCACACCGAGGCCTGCTCATGAACACCTTGCCCCAGGCGTTGATACATAGCAGCTGGTGAGAAGGGTGCCAAAGCGTGGTCCATGTCGGATTGCTTCTGCCGCCATTGGCGCTCGAGCGCATGCGTTGAAAGAAGCTGCGCTTGCGTCGTGGACCGCTGGTGGGCCAGACGAGCCTCGAGCTCGACTAGCCGTGACGCAAGCTCGAGATTCTCGTTCAGGGCCGCTTGAAGGGCCTGGTGAGATGACGAGAGAGACGGATGGATTGTGCTTGGTGCATGTGTCAGGGCGTTAAGGAGGTCCACGTTGGTCGCTATATCAGCGAGATCATGTTTTCTAAGACACATCATCAGCTTTGCACTAGCTCCGAAAAAGAATGGCGACGGCAGGTGATGCCACTGCCATATCCAAGAACGTACGCCTTGTCTTGCAACACCTTGGGAAGCCACTGTTCACCGGGGTCGGGCACGGGCTCAGGCCGGGCGATTTCGAGCCCGGCTGGCTGAGAGACCTGGCTCAAACGGCTCCCACCTGCACCCTCCGCGTCCGGTCCGGTGCCATGCTGAGGCGAGTTGAGCATATTCGGCGTGCCAATACGACTTGTGTCGTGGCTGCCCGGCTTAGGAGGAAGTACTGGTGGTGGAGGATCATGCATGATGTGGTCAGAAGCACACAGGTGATTAAATGTTGTAAAAAGGTATAACAAGAGGATCCTTATTTTCGAGACTTCAGGAAGGCTTTCAAGCCACTAGAACAACTTGGTAGACTGGCCAAATGTACTTCCTCCGAATATACGGAGATGTCAGCGTGGGTTGGGCGGGGATGGTGCTACAAGACGGAATGTGGCTGTGCTGTGGTTCAGCAGGCAGAGCATAGAGGTTCACAATGTGAAGCAGGGACCTTGTTTAGGGTGCCCCACAGCAGACAACTGAATCTAACCAATCAAAACTAGACCTGCTACTGAATTATACTTATTGCATACTTAAGCTCGTGTATACATACTATGATATCATGTCCGTAAATACGTATTCAATTATAAGTAGGAACTCAACATGGAATGGCTAAAAAAAAAGGCATGGAATACGTGACATTGTTTTTTTGCTGTTATGCTCTTTATTCGTGAGTCTTCAAAGTCTGATCTAACTACAACGACCACCTGCATTAATCAACTCGTCAGCCGATTGACTCTGGTGTGTTCCAGGCACATAATGCCCGGCCGAAGTCTCCCTGAGCGGCCAGCCATATGCCAGCTCAATCTCATGTAGACGTAACGCATCTCCAGTAGAGGCCCCAGAGCCCCCTTCCTTATCCCTAACAAACGTTGACTCGCCAGTAAACTGCCTAATTCAGTGCTTTACGGACCAAAGATCCCGTGACCATCCCATTTCACGTAGCTTCTTGCTACTCGAATTGGCCGCCTTCTTCTCGCCCGATGCAACGGCCAGAGCTTTGCTGCAGGCAGCAAAACACTCGACTAGTTCCTTCATTCGCTTAGCCTTGGTGAAGCACTCTGCCACATCAGAGCCCTTCTCCGCAATAGTAGCCGCCAGCTCCATGCACTCCAGAAAGTTATCCCTTGTCAGCGTCGTGCCAGCGAAATGGAGCGTGCTGACGTAGGCGAGCAGTGTCTCGGGGAGATATGCTTCCCGTAGCGCTTGCAACTCTTTATCCTCTTCTGTCGGGAACGGGTTAGTTCTGCTAGAGAACACGAGCAAGGAGCACGATTACCTTCACAAAGCAGCCAGCCATCCAGTAGAGGTCGTACGTGTTCTTTGACTGACTTAACCTCGTTGCCAACCTTCGTCCAGAAATCTCGTTTCACAGACGGGTCCCTGTAAGTGATTAGCAAGACGTTGTAGCCAGGGATCAGTTCGGCATACTCTCTTGACAGTTCCGCCAGTGAAGCGACAGTCTCCATTGTGTCCAAGGCTCTGACAAGGCACTCAAGTTCGCGTAATATCTTGGCGTCCGACACAACTTGGCTTGGGGAGAGGTCGACCGCACCCGCGGCTTCGAGCTGGTTGATCCAGAATTCTCCATCTCGTGTCCACCAAAGTTCGTCTTCTTCTTGTTCAGCGAAGTCGCTTGAGCGCATGCGTACAATGTCGTTGAATGGTACACGATTCGCGAAGCTCCTGGCCGCATTCAAGTGCATGGTCTCTGTGCGATTTGGGTTCTGGTTAGCGGATAGACGTCATCTGTTTGGTAAGGGCAGGGCCATACTTAGGAAATGCTTGTAAATCGCCACACCGATGGAAAAGACGTAAGGCCAGGCCTCGTCGACGAGTAGCAGCCATTCCACTGACCGAATCAACCGCTCGTCGACCGGATCGATGGTTTCGGGATCTTCCCCGAAGAAGTCCGTTTTGATGGAACGTCCGTACTTCAAGGACGCTGGGCCATCGTCCATGATCTGGAACTCCCGCATTGCATCGTTTTGAGCAGTATCGGGGTCCAAGGTCTGGAACAAGAATTGTGGTTGTGCCTTGACAAACTCCACTACGTCTAGCTCTGCTTTGCGAATTAAGCTGAGCTGGTCTAGACGAGCGTCGCTATCGGTGATGGGAAGTAAGTTGGTGCTCAACACTTGGAAGGCTCTTGATGGGTGGAGCCTGGAGCAGTACAGTGGTATCAACTCCTCCAAGCCTGCTAGACGGAGCAAGCTGATGTACTGTGTAATCGTGTTCTCTTGCAGTTCACGCCGACCATGATCCGAACTCATGGTCACGGCGTTCGATTGCAGAGCCCCAAGTTTATCGAGTGTATCGAAGATGATGAGTGCGTGAACAGCAATTCGCAGGCCATCGGGATTTTTGATGTCGGCGAACTTTTCCGTCACTACGTCGACGTTGCGACAGCTATCATCGGGCATGAGCGCAGATGCCTCCTTTGAATTTGCCTTCTGTGTGATGGCCACGCCCTGCTCATAGAAGTGTCGTTGGAGGTCTCTCGATATGATGGCCGCCTGGAGTGCCTTGACAGGTTCCAAAGCTTCTTTGCTCGTATGCGGGCTTGTCTCGAGGTTGCGGATCAGGCGTTGCTCCAACGTGGCAGCATCGCCATGGAACTGAACTGCGTCGAAAGCGGCGAATGATGAGCGGATGGTTGCTGATGCTTCCGGTGAGCATTGGCTGAGGAGGAAAGTATCGAACTGCGTGCGAACCAAAGCGTTGTAGTGCATGAACATGAAGTCGTCCCATGTTTTGCATACTCTTTGCACGCTAGGGATATCTCCTGACAACACTCCGTAAACTGCTCTCTCGATATCATCGGTGCCGCCTTGACGAGCTAGAGCAAAACACATGCGTCTCCAGAGAGCAAGCGCTGAAGGGTCGTCGACAAGATTCGTCTCCCCATGGTCACTTGCGAGAGGTAAGGCGGACATGGACACAGCCCTCCAAACTTCCGTTCTCTCCAAGCACCACTCTCGCGTAGTCTCTAAGCTACAGCCTCTTCGAAGAAGCTGAAAGCAGCCCACCCAGATGGCTCTCTCAAAGTACTCATCCTGCGGCTCCAACTTCCGACCCTGTCTGATCACAGAGTCTGGGTCTAGTTCGGCAACAAGTGGCGCCTTGTCTGAGTTGACCAGAGAGCGTGCCACCTCCGGAAAATGCACATCAAGCGGGCGTGAAGAACCAATCACACTCTTCTGCAGCTTGATGGCCGACCTTGTGTGTATCCAACCGTGAGCGATAATGTCTCCTCTGTCGGCGTTTTGCTGGAGCTCCCGGACGAGGTCGTCAATGTCGGGGCCAGCTCTCGCGCCTTGTTGTAACCATTCGAGAATGGTCTTCCTCTCCGTCGCCAATTGGTCGTTTGCGAGAAATGCCCTCCACAGATCTCCTCCATTGTTCGTAGCTTGCTGGTTTGCAGAGGTTTGAACAGAATATCTCAGTGGGATCAGGCGACGGACAAGATCCCACGTCTGTCTTTCTTGCTCCCACACTCGAATCTCTTCTGAACCTGCCGCAGCCTCTGCCTCTTCTTCATCGTCCAGGTCCATCTCGTTGTCGCCAATTGAACCCTGACGGCGGGGCTTGCGCAACTGTGACAGCTTTTCGGCGGCGTAGTCGTGGTATGCGTTTACCAGCCCCAATACCCTTGCGCGTTTCTCCTGATCGGTACCTTGATCCGCGAGGCAATCGTCGAGAATGTTCGCGAACACCTCAACTTCAGGCCCAATTCCGTCCATTTTCGGGAGTGCAATCGTCGAACGAGGTGGGATCTGGGGAAATATCGATTGGAAGTTTGCGCGAAACGGGGACAGAGGTGTCCGGTCGCCTCGTTAACTTCAATGTAGAATGGTCGATCTTTGGTCGTCGGCAAGGTTGCGCATGGGACCAGGGTAGGTATGGAGTCCCGATGCGATCCTAGGGGGCAGCGGTTAGGCAAATCAGGAGTTGCAGACAAAGTGAAGTGATCCAGCGAGTCCTCTGCTTACGATCTTTGAATGATTGTGGATGTCTGTGTTTTCGGCGTGGATGGATCAAGCCATGGATGCTGCGTTGCGAATGATTTCCCGGTGTGCTTCGCAGCGCCGAAGATGTAAGAAGCTGCAACCTATTAAGCCCTGGTAGCGCGCAGAAACTTATCCAGGCCCTCAACAGAGTTGAGAGAGTTCCCACGTATCGACGCTTGGGATAGAGGGAATAGTCCAGAGCAATTAGACTTGAATAGTGGGATTCCGATTGGGATCTCTGATCAGACCTCCCACCCTACCGGAAAAAAAGATTGAAAACAAATCAGCTGGCAGCTCGATGAGGCGGCTAAGGTACCTTACCTCACCTTGAGGGAGCAACAGACGTCCCAGGTGAAAGGCAGGCTAGCGTATGGATGGTCTGTGCGCTTGGTAGTCGCGCGCGTCGCGTCAAAACTCTGGGCAACAGCAAACACTGTATGCGCTTGCCCTAGATGGGGCAGAGATGGACTGTGTAAATGATTGGAAAGACACAGTATGGACCCGCTTTGGCGGCCTTTATCAACACACATTGTTGGAAATTTTCTCTGAACATTCTCTCTCTTTTTCTTCTTCAATGTCAAGGCTTTTGTATTAGAGTCTCGGAATAAGCACTCAATGCTTGTTCAGATCCCAAGGGGTCTCTTAGCGCGCTCAACGAATGCCTAGAAGAATTCTCTCTTTCTTGAATGTTACCAGATCTCTCTACTCAGGTTAACGTATATTTATGGAAGAGTGTACATTTCAGCATCCTAATGACTACTTTTTGGGAGAGGCGTCGCGCGACTCCTCGCGCATCCTGGTCAATTTCAGTCGAAGCAGATCCGGCTTGGGACAGCTCGCCGACACAGCGTCGTCTCCCTTTGACTGGTAAAAAGCCTCGCAACACTCGTATAAGGCTGTAATCACCGACTGGCACTTTTCCTCTTTGTACCCATGCTTGGTTAAGCAGTCTGTGAGCCTAGGTTAGCCACAATGGCGCTGACTCAGCTTCGCATCCGGTATGAAATAACCGTAACGAGGCCGTGAGAATGATCATAATCAAGACCTACCCTGAATAGCGCACTGCTCGAAATTGGGTCAGCGCTGAACTGGGGGAAGTTAATCTCTGGGTTGGACATGGGCTTACAGCACGAGGGTGGCACGGCGGGTTCGCCTTCAGGTCCTCATTCTGGCCCTCCAAATCCATCGTCAGCAGCTGCGTAGTTAGACGGAACGGTACCGGAGGGTCTACCATGACGGTCGCTCACGGCGGCGCTGCAACACCACACGTCGAAGTTGTGAGCGGTTCTAATGGTCGATGAAAAAGTTAGCTAGGAGCCGCTATCGGCATTGAGCCTCAATTTCATGACTGTCTCTTGATGTGCCTATAAACGGTAGAGTAATTACGCAAAGACGGGCGAACCGGAGGGAGGATGCTTGAGTACCTACGTGCTACTGTGCAATTCCACGAATCTTCAGGAAGGGTCAAAGATTCAGATGGAAAACAAGGTACCTGAGTTGAGGAGTTCGTGTAGGTAGGAAAGAAGGTATCTGACTTCCAACCCGGTCTTACCTTGAGGCTTAGGCAGGCGACATCTGGGGTGGGAAAGTGTACTAAGCCTCTGAAAATCCAGGCTCCACATCGTCCAATCAAGTCCCCTCCATCCCACCTTCACCCAGTGTCTCTGCCGACCTCTCTAGGTATCTACCAAGTGCGCCTAGGTTGTCTTTCGGACTCAGATGCGCCTCCCACCACTGCTCCCCACCCTCCGCCTCTCGTCAACCCTACAAGTCTCCTTCTTCACAACATCGCGTGTTTCTTTTTCCGCGCCCATCTCTCGTGCTACCTTATCACAGCCACAAGCGTGCCGCCTCTTCACACCATCGAGATTACGCTCTACAGCGCAAAGTACGTGGATACCAGATCGTCAGCCCTCCATCCGTCATCCGACCTCCGTCAATCTACTTCCGTTGACCCCTCCAAGGTCCAAACGATCAACACCTTATAACGAATCTTGGGTCGTTGCTGAAATTTTCTCCGTCAGCGATAGTTGCAAAATGTCGGGCGAACACGAGAACGGAAGCCCGTCCGCTGGCGGCCAAGATGCTGCGCCTGCCGTCGAGCACCTGAACATCAAGGTTACCGACAACAACAACGAGGTCTTCTTCAAGATCAAGCGCTCTACCAAGCTCGACAAACTTATGTCGGCCTTCTGCGACAGACAAGGCAAGGCTATGAACTCTGTCCGGTTCCTGTTCGAGGGCCAGCGTGTCCAACCCACGGATACCCCAGACACGGTAAGCGCTTGCTTCGTAGCCTGCACCGACAGTGCACACGATACTAACATGAGCGGCATTACCAGCTCGAGATGGCGGACGGAGACACCCTTGAGGTGCACCAGGAGCAGGTTGGCGGTTCTCTTTAGTCAGAAGGAGGCAAGAACTACGGGAAAATACATGGTGGGAGTAGTCGAAGGAGCGATGGATTTCTTGCTTCTTGAGAAGGCCTCGGCTGTCGCAAATGGCGTACATGGATGCAACGGATTCTCCTAACAGGGCCATATGAAGACAGTCAATGACGATTATGACTTTTACCACTTTATTTTTTCGCCTTTCTCCTATAGTACCTTATCCAGCCAAACGCTATGCCCATTACTCAAGCTGAAAGACATTACCGAATGCTAATTGACGACAAACGCGCAGTCGCTTCCCCTATTCCTTGATCCCAACTCCCATCCTAGATAACTAAAAACAACGCCCGGTCAAACAGTCTACTCGTTTACGTCGTTATGCCTTGAGTTCTATCATGCGGCAGCCTGTGCATAGCACCATCACCCTGTCACCGACCTCTTTGGGAAAGATCTGGCCGTCGTCGAAACCGCCCTGGCAAGAAGCGCAGCGGAAACACTCATCATGCCACTCACCCCCCAGCGCTCGAATGTACTGTCCGATGACAGCAGTCTTGCACTTCTTGCACTTGGGCGCCCGCCTCTCTGTCCGCTTTGTCTGGCAATTGACACACCACGCATACCCGTCCTTTTCAATGTGAGTCATGCCCTTCTCGAATGGATCGCCGCATTCTGCGCAAAAGAAGTGCCCGTAGTGCCAATGTTCTCCCAGGGCGACAACATGCTCCCCGAGAATGGGCGTCTTGCAGTGTTTGCACCTCGGTGCGTACAGTTCGTGCCAGTCAAGGTGACAGTAGAAACGTAAGCGCTCGTCGCCGTCTTCGGCCATGGTCTTGCCCGGCGTCTCTTCCAACACCTCGCCATGGGCGCGACGGTGAATTCTGTCAAGACGCTCTTGGCGGTGAGCCTCTGGCTCTGGGCTGATCTCCAGAGCTTCGAGACCCGTACCGCAAGAAAAGCAGCTAAAGCATTGAGGATGGAAGCGCTCCGAAGAGCCGCCCAGAGCGACGAATCTACCTTCAATGGGGAATCCGCATTCGTGACACAAAGCAGTTGAGTGATTGCTTGCCCCAGGAGCTGGCGACCAGTGACGTTGCGGGCGTCGGAAAGGGTGGCCCCTGGATGCTGTCTTGGGGTCCGGCAAGGGCCGTGGCTTCGCATTCGACGATTCGTCGTCGTCGGGGGTGACGATGGAGGGTATGCCGGGACTAGAACCAACTGGCTCATCCGCTCCGTCAATATTTATGACCGGAACGATCGGGTTGCTGCGTGCTCTGTTCGACGGAGGCTCCTCCGGCGCCACCACGATACAAGGAATCTCCATCGGCTGGTTGTTTTGGCTCGCGGCTCCTGGCCTAGCATCAGTTCTCTCCTCTGGAGCCTTCCACTTCGAGTCGAAGCTTACAATCGGCCGACCAGGGCGATCACTGACAGCTGTGGGCGTAGGCAGCTTCGCGCTGCGGTCCTTCAGCTTCATACTTGTGGCCCCTCGGATATCTTCACTGCGTATCTCCATGCCGTTCTTCTTGGGCACCTGGTCGTCCGACACCACAGGCTTCGGAGCCGACGTGTTGGTTGTGTACTGTGGGTTGCGCGATTGCGAAGGTGGGTTCCGTTGAATCTCTACATTGCACCTAGGTTTCCAGGGTCCAACACGGTCCGACTGTGAGTTTGTAGCGAATCGGACTTGATTCTGGGGGTTCTCTGGTTTGTCCACCAAAGGTAAGTCTGCTGTCGACGCTGACTTTGTCTTGGCCTTGTCTTCCCGCACATTGGCTTCTGGCTCTTCCCAAATCTGGTCACCGGAGAATGGCCTTTGAACTTCACCGCTGATGTTCCGCTTCATGCTGCTGCGACGCTGACCCGAGCCCCTGGCTTTTGGAAGGGGTCGGGCGCCGGCTGGGCCTGAAGCTGTCAAGTCCATCGACTGTCGCTCGGGGCTCTGGCTCTCCCCTTCAACGCTATTACGCGACAAAGCCAAGGAGGGCCGACTTCGCCGAGAGTGACCATCGCTGTCGGTAGAGCTGCCAGAAACCGACCTGGACTTGTCCCTGGCTAGGCCATCGCCATGTTTGCCCACGCTGGCGGTGCGGGCATGAGCATAACTATTCTTTCTCATGTGAGGCTTGTACCGGTACGGAGCGTCCTTGTCAGGGGGGCGAACTCCATTCTGATGCCGCCAGACCAGTTCTGAGGCCTCGTCGAGTGCAGCATTATAAAGGCGGGTTTCGTCGTCTGGCGTCTCTGCGGCTTCGTCCTCGACATGTCCTCCATCGTTCTTGATGGACATGTCTTCCATAGCATGTCGAAGTGACACAGCCTCTTCTTTTTCCATCCATCGCTGCCCCCTTTCCATGTAGGTGGCAGTCGGCACAACCTGAGAGGGCTTCAGAGGTGACGTGGGGCGATAAGCTTGATACTCCCGTCCTTGGGTGCTCGGAATGGAGTGACGAGACGATATGCTGGCGTTTACAGAAGGGGGATATGGCTGCGATGGCACATCGATAGAGCCCGGAGTGGAGAGTGCAGGACTTTCGGATCGAGGAAGGGGCTCGGAAATGCTATGTTCGATTGAGGGGCGTTTGGATCTTATGCTTGACGAAGAAGGCGGCAGAGGTCTTGCTCCGCCGGGGCGTGCGACTCTGTTGGATCTGAGGTTTGCCAAGTAGGCAGCTTAGAAGTTCGGGATCAGCATTCAGGACGGGTAAAAGAACAGAAGCATTCGGAAGCATTCCTCACCGAATTGTTCGTTATTCATGTAGCTCGGCGATGGAGGAGTCGCTTTCCTTGTCTTCTCGGTACTCTTTCTGCGATGCATGATGGAGAGCTGGCGTGCGGCAAGCACGTCGTCGACCGATCAGTGGGGACGGGAAGTGGTGGTGGCGGTGGGCAGTGGGAACAGGGTGAAGATTGATGCGGTGACTGGGGAACATGCGGTGAAGGTCTAGTGGATTCGCTTGGTTATGGATGTATGAATAGATGATGATGATGCATCTGTTTCTGAAAGAAAAATACTTAGACTTTTGGTAACACTCTGAGGGAGGGCAGCTCCGATTGACGGCGATGAAATTATACTTAAGCCATCCATCCGTAGCTAAGGTGAGGAAGTTAGGTATTTGGCGGTGGGATGTTGTCGGGGCAACGATGACTCTCTCTTCTGCGACAACGAAACATGGATCCAGGCCGACGGGGTGAGCTTAAGTTGTCGACAGTCGCTACGTCCGTTGCCTCTCTATGTACCACCTGCCTAGCTACGCAGGGGGGGTCGGGGACACACTCGGTACTTAAGGGAGTCCTCTCAGTGCAGTGGTGTACACCTGTGACCTGAAGCCCTTCCAGGTTAGTCCCTCGCGCCGCGCGTGTTCCCAGCGCTTCTCAGGGAGACAACCACAATGACAGCCCCACAGTGGCAGACGCCTCCAGATGTTCCATCGCTCATGCCCGTGTCGTGTCGTATCGTGTCGTGTCGTGCCTTTGTCGACTTCTTCGAAACTCGCCACTTTCTCTCTACTAATCACTTACCCCAGGCCATGAACTTATCTTCCATATCTAAAACCTCATTTTTAATACCTCTCGTTGGGTGTCCCTCAGAGCCCTCGGGAGTAGTTGTATAATGTAGGCCATCGGGTAGCTGTACCCCTATACAAGTATCTGCTAATTGGGATTCTGAGCAATTCAGCATGTTTTGATCAGGTTGCCCCAAAAGCAAGCACGCCGTTCTGGGTTAAAATGGATGGGTGGTGCCTGAGACCAAAGTGAGGAAGGTAGGGCAACGTCTGCGTAAGGTAAACAAACATGCCGTACCTTGCCTTGGTCTTTACCATCCGCAGGGTGACGCTCCCAATGCGATGCTACTGGGCCCGATGTCAGAGTGCATGAAGTTCGTTGCTGCGCATGATGGCTCATATATTGACAATTTATTGCACATCTGCGTTGTCAAGCAACCACGTTGTGGAAGATCCCCACAAATTCGTTGCAATGCAAAGACCTGCCCTGCTGGGTTGAAATCCGTGAATAATGTACATTTAGAGGAGCTATCAGCTGGAGAGGACATAAAGTCAAGATTCTGATTTTCTCCGAGTCTCGAAGGACCCGTCGTATTACCATCGTAATTCGCCGGGCTTTGCGTCCTTGTCCTTGTTACCACTTCCCTGGCCTTGACCTTGGCCTAAAGCCAGACCGTTTGGGTCGTTTACGGGTTTTGGTCCATTGTCAAAGCCTAGATTTTTAAACTCATCCTTGGCCATGAGATTTCTGAGAGCAGAGTCATTAGTAGTCAGAAGGTCGTCGACGCACTATCCCATCAACAGTTGCATGATGGGAAACAGGCTTACCGATCCATTCGACATGCGAGGTAGGATTTAGCAAGGTCGCGACATTCAGAGTCGTTTACTCCTCGTACTTTCTTGATGCACTCAAGATAGGTAGCTATGACATGCTTGCATTCGCCTGATCGGTTGCGTATCAGCAGACCAAGGACCTCAATGTTGGGTGGATTGGGGCACACGTTTCGCACTCACCGTCATGATCAAGTGGGAAACTGCCACGTTGAGGCCTAGACAAATCAAGGTCGCCATACGTTAGCCTGCACCACCTTACATATTGCGTTTGCTGTTGTAAAGAAGGGCCGGGCCAGGTACGAACGGTATGGGCTTGGCATTGGCCTGACGAGAACCAGGACCACCAAGTTGACTCATGGTAAAGAAGATGCGGATTTCGGTAGCGAGAAATTATAGCATGCAGGTCCGGCCAAAGGCTGGTCTCGAAAAGCTGCCGCTGTGTTGAGGTGAAGAACTTGTTTTGCCTGGATATGTTTATATGAGCCTGAACATTGAGGGTGAGAAATCTGAGCCTCCGGAGCTCGGGCAGAACGGCACCGCAGCTTCATTTACTTACCGATTGCTTGTGTGATTTACTTCCACGTATGAGTGTCTTCTGATTGCCTCTTTCCTGGAGTTGTGGAAAAGCTCACTTATGCTGGCCGTATAGGGGAATCATTGGCTACGTAGAAGAAGGTCCGACGAAGGCGAGTGGAACGATGTTGTTCGTTTCTGTGCTCCGTACCTGAGTACAGACAATGTCTTCTTGGCACCCGGTGACACCCAAAAGTCCACGACGGGACGCTATGGCTTTTCCAGAGCACCTGTCGCTAAGGAAGAAAAAGCCTCGCCCTAAGTAGCTAGCTAGCTATGCACCTATGGTAGCTGAGGGGCGAAAGAGTATCGATACAATCTTCGGTGTTAAATCCTACCTTACCTAGTACCTAGATTAATCTTATGGTTTTGCCACTGGGAAGATTCCGGCAGAGAGAAATCCCTCGCTCCGCCCATGGCCAGCTGATGCTTTATTTCTTGAGGTCCTGCATCCGTACCTTACTGAACGCTTGCCAGTGCACGCACCCTTGGAGCTGCCAGCTACCTACGTACCTCACCTAAATTCAGGGAGGAGTGAAAAGCCCAGGAGTCTACAGACTTTCTAAGATAGAAAATGAGATTGAATACACCTTCTGTTTATTTATTTTCAGGAAATAAAACTTAACTGCAATGAACACTGTTCTCACTCTCTCAATTAGTAATATCCTACCTAGCTTGTAGGTACTGAGAGTGATGTAACTGAGCCTGAGGTGTCAGGGACTAACGGATCCATGGATGTGTATTAGCTTAGCTAATACTTCGAACTATTCTCCTCTACTGTACCAAGCATTACGTCCCTTGCCGGAGCTTTCTGCGCAGGCGACTTGGTGGATCGCGCATGAATTCTCGAAATTGAACGACACGCCGAAGAGCATCTACGCGCATCGGCTCAAGCAAAGCCCCCCTTGGCCCAAAAATTCCATCTCGTCTGAAGGGGCTCCGTTCTTAACTTTGTAGTTTTCCCATCATCTGCCTCGCCCTCAACCTGCAGAGGTAGCCGACAACTCCCGACGAGCCTGCGCTTGCTCCCTTCACCTGCACTAGGTGCTCTGCCTTGTTTTGCGTCGCCCTGCGCTGCAGACTCCCCTTTCGGCCTGGCCTTTCGCCCTGTGAAAGAGCTTCCACTATTTCGCCTCCCGAAGCTCTCCTCGACATCCACGGCTGCTTCGCTCCTCACCACCACCACCTCTTCCAACCCGATTCAGTGGGAGTCTCTGCCTCCTAGCGTCACCCAATCACCATGGCGTCCCTAGGAGACGACCTTCTCGGCACTGTCAACAAATTGCAAGACCTGGTCTTCAATACCATTGGCAGTGACTCGCTGGATCTTCCCCAGATTGTACGTCGTCTAATGATGGTGCATGAGCCGCCTAGATGCCCAGTCGCTGACATTTGAGCAGGTCGTGGTTGGTTCACAGTCAGCCGGAAAATCCTCCGTCCTCGAAAACATTGTCGGTCGTGACTTTCTGCCCCGCGGAAGTGGTATCTGTACTCGACGACCCCTGATCCTGCAACTCATCAACGTATCCGAGGACGAGAGTGCCCTCGACCCTTCCGACGACCCCTACAGGTCCCCCGACCTTGCCAGACGATCCGAATGGGCCGAGTTCCACCATATTCCGAACCGCCGCTTCAATGACTTCTCCGATGTGAAGCGCGAGATCGAGAACGAAACGGCACGTGTGGCGGGCAACAACAAAGGCATCAACAGACAGCCCATCAACCTCAAGATCTACTCGCCACATGTGCTCAACCTGACGCTTGTTGATCTTCCTGGACTCACAAAGGTACGCCGCCAGACTGGTCTTTCTCGGTGCTCAACATCAAATCCTTAGCATGCTCTAACACAAGCTCTTAGGTTCCCATTGGCGATCAACCCACCGATATCGAGAAGCAGACGCGCAACCTGATTTCCGAGTACATTGCCAAGCCGAACAGCATTGTCCTTGCCGTATCTCCTGCCAACGTTGATATCGTGAATTCGGAGGCTCTCAAACTTGCACGACATGTCGATCCTCTTGGTAGGAGGACAATTGGCGTACTTACCAAGGTGGACCTTATGGATCATGGTACGAACGCGCTGGATATCCTATCTGGCCGTGTGTACCCTTTGAAGCTTGGTTTCGTCGGCGTCGTCAACCGTTCTCAGCAGGACATCCAGGGCGCCAAGCCCATGGAGGAGGCTCTCAAGGCCGAATCCGAGTTCTTCAGACACCACCCCGCCTACCGTAACATTGCTAGCCGATGCGGCACTCACTACCTGGCCAAGACGCTGAACACGACCTTGATGGCTCACATTCGCGAGCGCATGCCCGATATCAAAGCTCGCCTCAACACCCTCATGGGACAGACTCAGCAGGAATTGGCAAGCTATGGTGATATGCACTTTAGCGGAAAGGAGCACCGTGGATCCCTCATCTTGCAGCAAATGACACGCTTTGCTACGTCATTCATCTCATCCATTGATGGTACCTCAACCGAAATATCGACCAAGGAGCTTTGCGGCGGTGCTCGCATCTACTATATCTTCAACTCCGTCTTTGGCATGTCTTTAGAATCCATCGACCCGACTTCGAATCTTTCGGCCCTGGACATTCGAACGGCCATCCGCAATTCCACCGGTCCTCGTCCCAGTCTATTCGTGCCCGAAATGGCCTTTGACCTTCTCGTCAAGCCTCAAATCAAACTTCTCGAGATTCCCAGTCAGCGATGTGTAGAGCTTGTTTACGAGGAGCTCATCAAGATTTGTCACACCTGCGGCTCAACCGAACTGTCTCGATACCCGAGACTGCAAGCTAAGCTGATTGAGGTTGTGTCAGATTTGCTGCGAGAGCGCTTAGGGCCGACTTCTGGTTACGTCGAGTCCTTGATTTCGATCCAAAGAGCGTATATCAACACTAACCATCCCAATTTCCTGGGTGCTGCCGCTGCCATGAGTCACGTTGTCAGCAACAAACAAGAGAGGGAGCGAAAGCGCTTGATTCAGGAAGAACGGGAAAGACGGGAGAAGAGGCGTCTTAAGGAGCTGGGCGCTAATGGCACCGAAGGTCCCGAGGGCGAGGAGGAAGAGACGGCTGTCGTTGAAAAGGCCGAATCGAACTCTCTTCGGAAGCAGGCAGCCAAGGGCGCACGCAGCTTGTCACCTGGCGTGCGGGAAAATGGCACCACCGGTCTTAATGCGGCACTCAACGGGGCAAGGTCGGCTTCTCCGTCAAGATTCAATGACAAAGGAGTGGGCGGCGCGCGCGACTCTTTCTTGACCTACTTCTTCGGCAAGGACGGTGCCTCTGCAATTGGAGCAGCATCATCACCCAACTCCTCCATTGCCCGGCACGTTAGCCAAAGCTCTGAGCCAACATTTTCACAGAGCATCCGGCGAGCTGAAGACAAGGTTGCTTTGCGCACCCCAGTACAATCTTCGTCCCGGGAAGAGCTGGAATTTGGCAAGCCTCCGCAATCCATAGATTATGGCTCCCTCTTCGTATGTTTTCCCACTGTACCATGTGTCTTATTGACGAGTACTAACTCAATATCCAGGGTACGGCTAGCGGCGAGCCAGCTATGACCGAACGGGAAGCCATGGAGACAGAGCTCATCCGAGCACTCATCTCTTCCTACTTCAACATTGTGCGTGAGTCGATTGCGGACCAAGTTCCCAAGGCTGTCATGCACCTATTGGTGAACCACTGCAAGGATGTAGTCCAGAACCGACTTGTCAGCGAGCTGTACAAGGAGGCGCTGTTCGAGGAGCTGTTGTATGAAGACGACGGCGTCAAGAAGGAGCGGGAGAAGTGTGAGAAGCTGCTTCAGACGTACAGGGAGGCGGCTAAGATCATCGGTGAAGTGTTATAGATACGTGTTGGAAAAGAAGAAACAGATCTTGGCGAAACCGGCGCCACATGTTTGCATTAACACCCTCTCTATCTCTCTGTCTCTCTCTCTTTCTTCCCCACTTCCTCCCTCAGTGTGTGTCCGTGTCACGCATACATATGTACACTCTTGGTTCGGTCAGGCGGATAAAAGGCGAGGTCTACGTCAGGGGGGGGGGGGGGGGGGGGGCGTTTCCGACGGAAAAGGCTTATGGATGTCTGAGAAACGATACCATGATCGTTGTGCTGTACCTCATATCAGTCTGCTGGGGTGCCTATCATGTACCTTTTTGTGTCGAAGAAGTGTGTAATAGAAGATCCTCAACTTCAATAAAGCCTGAGCAATAATCCGCCGTGGCTGTATTGCAATGCATTAGGAGAATGCGACAGCCATCTTTTCCGGATTTGCCTCGCGCACACATACTCTTTGTCAGTGTTCAATAACAATCACAAGTACTCAAGCTTGAGTTCCAACTTTCTAGGATAATAAGACGGACTCTGCGCAAGGGAAAGAGGTAGAATATGGAACTGTTCGGTTGCGTTTGACTATTGTGCTATGCTACCTACTCCCCATCCAATTGAAGGAGTAAAAGTACAATGTCTAGTATTCAGATTATTTCTCAACGCTGGGACCCGGCATGGGCGCTGGGTTGTTCGGATCATATTCTTCGTAAGACGACGGACCATTCCTGAACCGGGCTCCCGCAGTAGATGCCTCGCGCATTTGAAAGGTGTCCCGTCGTTCGCCAGAAATAGGGATCCGGCCCGTCGAGTCGTACAGAGCATCATGACGATGGTGTGGGTATGGTCCCCTGTTCTGATGGAGATGACTGTCTTCTTCGTACAACACCCGCTGTGGTTCGCGTTCACGCAAAATCGGCCGACGAACGATGTACTCTCCCTCTGCATCTCGTACGTGTACAATCTCATAAGTCTCTTCATACCCTGCAGACGGAGGACGAGTCGCGCATGCGTAGCGCGTTCCGCTGCGGTGATCGCTGCTGCGACCTAGATTTTGAGTCACCGCCGGGCTATGGTAGTACGACGACACCTCAGAAGCATGCCCGGCGTGACGAGCTTCATGCGATTCTGCGATGTATTGCCTGGAGTTTCCATGACGAGCGTCATCGAGAACTTCTACTTCCATGTGTCGTCGTGCAGGGTAATTGGGAATGTCGGATAGAGGGGCGCTGCGCGCTGTGGATAGGCGGTCTTGTTGAACTACCTCACGCTCCAGCAGTCGAGCCTTCGGTATCCGAGCCTGCGCTTCGCGATCTTGGGCAAGATGCGACTCGAGAGCAGCAGTCAAGCTGTAGCTATCGGGATCCCCTACCGGTGGACGTGCAGAATCTAGCTCGACGGTCCTTGAAGAATGAGGAATTCCCGGGGCGCGTCTTGCGGAGCCAGGTTGTATGTCCTGCAGTAAAAGTTGCTCTCGGTCGAGTGGCGGACGTGACCGAATCAACCTCGACTGTTCCAATGCACTCTCGTCTTCCTCTACGGGGTATCTACTACCGCACTCATAACGAGATTCGGCCAGGACTCGGTCAGGGGCTCGATTTTGCTCGCGGTGACCATGGTGGTTTCCGCCATCCAATGCTGGAGTACGGTTCGAGAGATAGACTGACGGAAGGTAATGATCTTTCTCGTTGATGCCACCTGCAGGATGCCCACTGTCGTAGTAAACGGCACGGCCCCTTTGATCAAACTCTGTCGGAGAAGCGCCCCAAGAGCCTAGTCGGCGAGGGCCAACATTGGAAGACTGAGGCATCCGTCCTGTATCGCGTGCTTCATGAGAAGTGACCAGTGGTTGATAGGGGAGTGCTGCGGGTCTCCGATTATAATCTTCCGTTGAGGGCTGAGTGTCTCGGCGTTGTTGCTCTTGCCCCACGATAGGTGGTTCTTGGATGGCTCCAGGACCATGCCAAGCGTTACGTTCATCATTAGAAGCATCTGCATGGGTGGCATAGGTATGCCGAGCATAATCTGTGATCTGATCTGAATGGCTGGGCTGTGCCACCCCGCCCAGAGGCCACGCGACCCCAGGTTGTTGCGAAGGCCTGGCGGGCTTCTTGAAGACCCAGGGGGCTGCCTCGTTGACGAGATTGAACTTGTGTCCCTTATTGCCCATAACGGCTTTCAAGTCAGGAATTTCTGATACATCCGGCATCAGAACCATATCTTGTGTCCAATCGAGTCCTGGCTCACTCCTGTGCCTCACCTGCTGGAAACGAACATGTTTGTTCTCGAAGTGATTGACGAGCTGCGGGAGAGAGAACGTGGTGCGTTCTGGATTGACTGGTGGCCCTAGACCCAATGTGCAGGATCTGCACATCAGTCCGTTGATATTGCGGACTGGACGCATAGCCTTGTTGTTTGATAACCCATCGTTAAACATCCGCAGCGAGGGAGTCTCGCCAAATTTGTGCCAAAAACGTTTGACCACATGGTGTATAGTGATGTATACTCTCAAGGGTCCAGGCAAATCCCTGACGGTGCTAAGCGAGTTCCAGATGTCTCTCGCGATTCGGGCCAGGTCTTCCTGTTGAGTGGTATACGAGGGCGTGAAGGGTATGCCTCGAGGTGCAGTGGACGGTGGCTGAGGATTGCCTTGATGCGGAAGAGTACTATGCGGCTGCCCAACATATGGTGGTCCTAGAATGCTCGGAGGGTGGTCTTGGGGGCCAGGAGGGATGGATCCAAAGCCAGAAGATGCCACAGGATAGAATTGAGGGGCGCCAGACGGCCCAAAGTTCGGTGGTAGATAGGGCGCAAGCGGTATGCTAGCATCCGCATTGTATGTTGATAACGTATTGTACGGGTCGGCTTGTGGTGTGGGATAGGAAAGGGGTGGAACTTGGTCCGAAGGATACTGGTACACCGGGGCAGGTAAGAGACTACCACTCCGACCAAGAGTGTCATGACCTTGAGGCGGCCGGGGTCCTGTCGCCGTATGACTCTGTGCAGTTCCCTTTCCTGCGACTTGCTGAGAACTTTTGGTCGGTCGGCCGTTAGGTTTGAAAATGGACTGCTCTGGCCACTCAGCTCTCCAGTGAACAACGATATTGCCGAGACTGAGAGCTTTGGTATGCTTTGCGGCATAGTGCTGTATGACCCCCTCGAAACCGTAGAACCTATGGCTTTCGCACCCGTTGCAGAGAAACAACTCCTTTCTATGCGACTCGGTATGCTGTTTGATCTTCATATCGAATACCCACTTCATGTTCTCCAGCGTGAGCTTCTGTGTAAAAGGACCATCTTGGGGATCGACTACAGGCCGCCGTCCAGCTGCTATAGCCTCCGCAGCATCTTTCGCGACGTCGGCGTAGAATCTTGTCCGCACTGAAAGAAGGACCCCCGCTGCAAACCGTGGGCTATTCTCCTTGTTGACTTTGCGACCCTTATTCCAGCTACCGCGGATGATCTCGTCGGCATATTTTGCCATTCGCGCCCGCACCGGGCCTTGGATATCATCCCAGTCTTGGTCTGTAACTTCCCTTGCTGTATCGACCTTCGTCTCAATGCTGGTGCTCCGAAGTTCAGTAGGACACTTATTGATGTTCCTCTCAGCTTCGGCTCGTTGAGACAGCAATTTGGGCTCCAGCGTATTCCACGCATCCTCGTTCAATGCGGCCGGGATTAGTATGGCTGCTTGAAAGGAAGGCATGTGAACAATGATATTGGGTGGCAGAGGAGGGTCGAGTAACATAGCGCGTCGCTCAATCTCAGCACGCCGTAGTGCCTTCTGCGCAGCCGCCTGGTCGTGGGTCTTGTCTGACCTGCTGGCAGTTTCGAAATCTCGGTTTTGTGAAGAAGCTTGAGGGGGCTTTGGTGATTCGTGGTCTCGGTCTTGCATCAATTGATCGGAACTCCCGTTCCGCGGGGTTTGCACAGTTTGGCATATTTGCGCCAGACCGCCAGCCACAGTCCACTTTTCCCATCGTGAGGCATCAATTCTGAGCTCTTTGCCCTGGGTGTCTAGTCCCTTGAGCCACTCTTCGACGGCTGCTGTCCCGAGACCCTGAACCACGTCTAGCTGTTCCTTGGCGGCAGCAATGCTGGAGGCTGAGTACAATTTGGTAAGTTCCGACTCGTGATCGCCTGCGCTGATTATCAAAGCGCTTGGTGGGATGGCCTGTAGTTCAGGTGTGACGAAGACAAAAGCGAGTGCTGGGATTAGGGAGGATGGGGTTGTGGAAGAGAGTAGCAAATCGATCTCCTGTGGAACGTTTAGTTTCGAGACAAAAGATTACGAGATCCAAATAGCAAACAGACCTTCACAGAATGCTTCAGAAGACAGGAACCGCAACAGGTGACGCCAAATGCAAATACGGTTGCCAGACCATGCACTCCAGGCCCTGAACGGCAGGGATCGGCATTCTCTTGTCGTTGCTCACAAGGCTTTGTAACACCACAATATTGACAGGTTTTGGTGCAGCACAGCCGCCACATGTCGAGTTCAGTCCGATTCCCTAGTGGCGAGGGCATCCTGGGACAGTGCAGTCTCCTTGAATGCTGCCAGACTGTGTCTGGTTTGATTGGTTTGAAGAGACTCGCATGTTCCGGGTGAAGAGCAGTGTTGCTGAATGAGGACTGAGAATCAAGATACCCGTTGAAAAGCTTGTTTACTCGTAGCAAGGCTCCCAAGCTCCTAGGGGGGAGAAATGTGAAAACTCGATGCCATATTCCAGACGGAAGAGATGCTCTGTCCCAAGGCAAGTTAGGCGACTTGCTCCTCGTAGCCTCAAGCTTCGGTCTCTTGGACATGCCTTGGTCTTGGCCAGTACCACTGACTTCCACAATGCTATGAGCAGCCTTTCGTTTGCTGTCCCGACTCGAGTGATACTGCAAGCTCATGGCGGCTTGATCGGATGTAATGACACTAGAGTGACAATTGTCCCTCGGTGTGGATAACTTCACATCCTCTGAAGATGCAGCAGCCTGGGATGAAGCAGCATTGCCATTGTCGTCCGCTGGACTGTCGCGACGCTGAGGCAAAGGGGAAAGCTCCATTGCATCCTTCCTTGCGGCTGAGAAACCACCTCGAAGATGCAGAAGAGAAAGGGAAGCGTATGGTGGGTTGGATTGCCAATAGCAACGGTGGGAGGTAGAGAAGAGAGGGGTTGAGAGAGATTGGAGAGCTTGAACACTTGTCAGGTCTGAAAATCGTGATAGGTTGAGGGTCACGCGACGAACGATCTCCGGTCAATTCGTTGCGTTTCGGACCAGACTCAGACGACGCCTGCCGAATGGAAATTTGACCCTCTCAGCTATGAGACTCCAAGGGTTTGTGGGGTTAAGGAGAGATGGTAGTGAGATGGCTCCCGTACAGTCTGGGAATGACAATGAACGTCGGGAACAAAGGAGCCTCCAGACTTACTGTCCTATCTCTGGAGATCACTCCAAGCGAGGAATGTCAGGCGTGACCGAACACAAACGCTTGGAAGTAAGGAAACATGAAGCCACAGCTACTCGTTTAGTTCGTGTAAAACATTCTTCGGAGAGAGCGATGGGCGTTTGGGTTGACCGACGTGACGGGACGTATTGGAAGGAAGTTGTACTGGCTAAGATGCGTTGGAGTGGCGGTTCCGCGTCGGGTTGTTGTTGCCAATGGGAAGCTCGGAGTCCCGGAACCATGGGGCGCCGTCCATGAGTGGAGACCTACCCAGTCGGGTTTTAGAGGCAGCTCTACCACCTTACCTTGACGTAAGTACCTCTAGGTCCAAGGGAAGGGAGGAAGGTATCTGAGGTTACTTGAAATGTGCAAGTACAGTATTCTTCCAAAACCACAATATTATAGCATGGACTATGTTCGTGCGGCTCTGGTCGCTTATACGCGTCGGAAAACGGTGTTCATGGTCAACAACTGAGGAACCTAAGTTGATTTGGCTTTTGGCACGACCACAGACGTACGACCTCATCACGAGCGAAAGGCTTATGGCACAGGTGCTCAGTGCTGTTGCGAATACATCATATTCAATTATTATGTCTGTCTTGCAGGAGACAAATCTCTATAAAGACTACAGACTACTTTGATCGGGACGATCATCACTGTCTAGGGCGCTTTCATTGCTGATATCTCTCCCGTGTTCAGGGCCGTGCTTGACTTTGGATCCAACAGAAACGGTGCCCATAGAGGAACGGAGTAGAGAATTGCGATCATGGCCGTGTCAAGCCATTTTTAGTACTTTGTCGGGCAAAGGAAGGCAAAGTAGTAGAGACCGAACAGTGTAAACAGCTATCACAGAAACAGCAGGCAGAATACCTTAGATGCCTTATGTCTATGGGACTCCAGAAGATACAGGTAACGTACCAAATTAAGCGAATTGCTTCGCCTTAGACCTCCACCCCCTTGAATAGTGAACTCGTATGTATGTATGTGTAAGGTATGCAGAAAAAACTTCTTAGACGATTAGCCTTAGCCGTTTGTGAATGAGGCAAATTGCGAGCTTAGCGTCTCTGGCTTGTTTCTCCTTCTTCCGTGGTCTTCTGCCTTCATCATCGCCGCTGGAAGATCTGGCAATAATCTGCATAGTGCCAATATCTTGTTAGCAAGACATGTTTGACTTGTGAGCTACCATTGCAACAATCCCCACCCACCTATCATCATGTGATACAGGAATCGGCCTGTGTTCCAGTGGTACGAAGTTCCAGGATTACCTCTTAAAGTGATCAGCTGATCTCAACGGGGCGAAGCTATGACTTGCGTCTACTGCTTCCTTTTGCCTCATCCTCTCCCTGGCCTCTTCTACTCTCTTGATCGGTCTCATTCGTGTCATCAGCCGTCTTGCCGCGACCGCTGGGATTTGGAGAGCGGGAGACGCTACTACCGTGACGATGCCGCGGGCTACTTCGAGATCTCGGACTCGCACGTCCCCGAGAGGTTCGACGCGTAGAGCTACGACTGCGAGATCTGGAACTTCGAGATGAGGCTGAATTCGAGCCTCTACTGCGGGATCGTCTATCGCGAACTGGTGAACGACTCCGTGAGGATGAGTATCTGCGGCGCTTTGCAGCTGCTCGTTTATCGGGCGATGTTGAGGGCGTCGAAGGGCTTCGCGACGATCTCCTCTTCCTTCGTGATTCGCGATAGTTACCCTCGCTCCTTCTAGGCGACACCGATCGATTTCTTGTAGGCCTGGGGTTGGATATGCTACGTTCTCGACGAGTTCGTCGGGCGGGAGGTTGGGGTGAGCCACGACTCGAGTCTCGCTTGCGTTCGGGGCTGCGTGACCGTGACGTGACAGACGCCGGAGACGGAGAGCGCGTGTCGTTGCGACGGCGGCCAGATGCTCGACTGCCGAGACCGCGATCCCTAGGGACGTAGCTGTCTCTAGTGGACCCACGGAACGAGCCTCTATCCCTCTGGTCGCGATTCCTCGCAGCCGGTGAGCGCGACCTGTTGCCGCCGAACCGCCCTCCGTGTCTACCTCTCTGGTCGTAGTCCCTGTCACTGTTGCGACCACGCCACATATCCCCACCACCACGGCCGCGGCCGCGCTCACCGCGCTCACCGCGATCCCTGTCCCTCGGTCCAGGGCCATCTTGTTGACGTCTGTCGGCATCGCCTCGGCGGCGTCGTGCTTCGTCTGCGGCACGATCGGCTTCCATCTACTTTATGTTAGTTACTGTCCTTAGCTCTGGATGAACCTGTTTCCTACCTTTTCTTGTATCAATTCCAGCTTCTTGGCCTCGAGTAGCTCTTTAGGCACACCCTGCGGGCTTGTTTGGGCACTCAAGAACAGTTTCCATAATTCCCTGCAGAACGGCGCCGTGTCCTTATCCAAGAAACCCGTAAGTTGTATTTGAAGAGATTTAATGTCTGGCTAAACAGAAGTCAGCAGCGAAGCGCGAGAATCGGTCGAGACAGACAAGACTGACAAAACGAGGGCCTTCAATCAGATTGAAACAAAGCTCAATGACAACGTCATCTTCACTTCCCAGGATGTCGGAAATCTTGCTGGCTATCCACCTGAAAAGAGATCAATTAGCAATTGGGTGACAATGGATGGCGAGGTTCTTGCTTTTTCATCACCTGAAGGTTGACTTTTTGCATGTCAACCTTCTGATTGAATTCCGGAGGGAATTTGGTGGACTTCAGGAGCTTTGCGTCGACGCCGGTCGCCATGATGGTAGGAGAGGCAAGGAGCCGATGGGATAAGAGGATGGAGGAAAGAAGAAATGGATGCTGTGACGTCGATCTAAGGACGGTCTAGCAGAAGATCGGGAGCTGGCTGGGGTTGAGCCTAGAGCTGGAGCTGAAGCTGGGTCAGGACGCTGGGTCAGGACGCTGGGACGCGTCGGGTTCCAGTGGGAACGCATCTCGTGCCTCAGGTACCAGCAGTGGCCTTAAGCTCCAACCAGGTCTGGTGAGTTAGTCAGCGCAAACCTTAGGGAGTCACAGTGCTGGCAGACACGCAGGGAGTGGAGGCACTCAGGCGGCTACCTGCCTTCCATACCTTGAGCACTTAAGGCATGCACCTAAGGTACGGTACCGGGCTACCTAGGTAAGCCAGGCAGGTGCTCATGACGCTGAGGTGCGCACCTACCCTATTTGCGGCGCGGGGCTTACGATGTCCTCTTCCCACTGTCGATGCAACACCCGACCTAGAGGGTTGAAGTTAAGGTCCATCAACATCGATTCCAGCCCAAATACTGGGGACATGAAATAAGTTGTCTGCCATCACTGCAGGAAGTCAGGAAACCAAAGTTTATCGCACTTAAACCCCCTCGCATTTCTATCGGTCCGTCCGGTCAACGATGGGATTGCCCCTCAGGATGGATAACATACACGCTCCAACCGTGCCCTCGGGCCCAGCAAGCAATACGTCGATGAACGGTAACCTTGGTCGCCTTTCTTTTGCCGAGCTGCAGAGGAAGAAGGAAAACATAGAGGCCGAATTGAAAGCTCTGGGTGCAGTTCTCGACTCTGTTCGTGGTTTCAAGAACCCCCCCCCCCCCCCCCCCCCGTCTCAGTGTTCGGAGACGAACATGGAGAAGCGAGCATCCAGCTGATTGGCGAGCCAGCACGGGGTTGACATGAACACACCTCTCACAACTCAAGATGGCTTTCCGAGAGCCGATCTTGATATTGCTCAAGGTGTTTCTCCTCTGGTGGCAGAGACCTGGCACTTTGCTGATCGTAATAGTGCGCACTACCAGAGCCCGCATCATCCACCTCCGCAATGACTATAAGGACCTCATGGCCATGGTTGAAAAACAACTCCATGAGCACTTTGCCAGCTTGCAAGAAGAGGAGGTACCCGAAGTCCCGCTCTCCGGGGTTTCCAACACCTTGGCAGATCATTCAGTATCTCGACCGCTGGAGGAACCATTCGCAAAGGTCAACAGTGTGGTTCCAGGAAGCCCAGCCGAGTCAGCTGGCCTGAAGCCGAATGACCAAATCCGCGTATTTGGTTACGTCAACAGCTCAAACCACGACAATCTCAAGAAGGTGGCTGAATGTGTGCAAGGAAATGAAGGTGTAAGTTGACTATTGCCCAACTCTTGTACGCATGTTATATTAACCAAACAAAGCTACCTGTTTTGGTCAGGGTATCTCGACCTGGCCAAGGGGCGCGGGAGGAGCTGCACGTAACACTGACGCCAAGACGTAACTGGGGTGGCAGAGGTTTGCTGGGCTGTCACATCTTACCTTTGTGAGAGAAGAATAGATCGCCTTAGCCGCGGGAGCCCAGGGAGGATTTGGCATCGCCTCATGTACAGCAGGCAGACATTGTTCTTGATGATTTCGCCGGCATAGAACGCGAAGTTTCATGCCGAAAAGCATCATCTCAGATCTGGTGGTCTGCTTGCGCCATGTAGAATTCCATCAGTGAGAGTCACTCAGACCTGGGGTGCTTCGGTGCCTGAGATAAGGTAGAAGCCCATACCTAGAGCTTCCGTCGAGCCGGTTTAGTAGCAGCTACATCTGCTGCTCAAGCACGTTAGCTTTTTCAAGCTTTAACCAGCACTATAGTCGTACCAGGTGATTTTAATCCCATATGTCTAAAAATGAAAAACATGAAAATTACGTTGATGTTTGGTCGCGATAAGGTAGATGGTAAGTTCGGGTACAAAAATACGGCTAAAGAGAGATGACAGCTACGGTTTGGCCGACATTTGCGCATGTGCAAGATTGGTGGGAAATCAAGGTACACGAGTAGGTCTCCTACCAGATATTAAGATCCAGTGAAGTTACTATGTATGAAATAATAAGGACTTAAAGGAATCGATCTACCGCAAAATGAATCTACAGGCATGTCATCCTGGGCAAGTGCGGATGACAGGTGCCATAAGGACCGAGGTGCGGCGAAGCACTGACGTTAGCTGATAGCCTGATATACCTAATCCCAGCTGCAGATGGGAACCTGCGCCTTCGGCGCTCAGCATCACTAGCCACAATATGGCGGTGCGGGTATCTCCTTGGGTAAGCTAAGCTACCCTATTCGTATGAGCTCACTTCGATATACGAGATATTTTCTGTTTTGAAGCTCGCGCGGAGTTTCGCATATGATGAGTAGGCGTAAGCTCTTGGTACCAGATGCGCGAAGCGAGGAAACTTTGAAAAGCTGTTGCAAGTCTGGTGGCTACTGTTCCTCTGCAGTTCTACGTGGCTTTCTTAAATGTCACGACGCCTTCATCTGACACATACGACCATACCCATCGGAAAACTCGGGATCCCGTCCGCTCTCCCATAGATAAGCCGATGAGGGCCGGATTAGTAGTTGGGTCGGTGACGACCAGCGAATACCTGGTGTTGTATGTTTTATTTTTTGCTTTTTGCTCATGATAGAGCGAGCGGATCTAGGACAAGCAATCGTATGTTCTGTGGTCTTTGCCTCGCTTTGCTCTATTTGAGAGCTTTCTGACAGCTAAGTGAACTTCAATGAGACTGCCTTATTGAAGTTGGTTCTCCTGAGCATGGTAACTTAAACTAGAACCTGACTGCGCTCTTTTGCCGGTTACACAGCAGGTCGTAAACAACTACAAATGCCATGCTTCCAGATGGAATGAATGCACGGAGTACTCGAGCAACGGTGCCCCACAGGGACCCATGGGCATCCAGGAACCCACGAGTGTCTTAAGCTCGACCTGGGGACTTTGGGGACCCAAATTCAGGATGACCCAAAAGCTATGAAACCCCAATGTCTTCGGTCACCCAATAATTGAAAACCCACGGGTGTCCAGGAGTAGTATCCAGTCCACGCGGGACTACCAGGATGAATTAGCCCTGTCTATCAACAATCTGCTAGCAGGTATCTCCAGAGTACGATGATCTGCACTTATCGCCGAGACTACCTGGTGCAATCGGGAAATAAGGTTCAGATTAACATTCGTCGGGTATTTAGTGAACACGAGGCGGCTATTCCAAAGACGAGTTCATCTCGTCGTGTTATAGGATGAATCCGCTCATAGTACAAACATTAAACATTATAAAGCAGCAGCCCTCGCATCCAGTCGAGTCTGCCCTGCCAACCCTCTTTCCACATCACGCATCCTCCGGCCCCATTGATAACCCCCTAGTCTCATCCTTAGCCCCAGCCTTCCCGTAAAGCTCAAAATCCGTGTAGACGCTACTGATCGCGACCCTGGCGGCAGGAGGCGAGTTCCACTGAGACGGACCACCCCCGTGGTGCTGCTGCTCCGGGGACAACCAGGCGTCCGAGCCGACGCGGGAGACCTTTTTCGCCGTGTTGTACGTCGCGTACGTCTCCCCCGTGCCCGCAGAGGATTCCCCGTCTCGCGGCGGCGCGTTCCTGCTCTGAGGGAAGACGCACCGCCACGCGGCGCGGAGGATGGGCATGCCGAGGACGAGGTTGCCGACTAGCATCGCGGTGCTCGTCTCGCGCACGCACCACATGAACCAGACGGGGTCAGTCGAGTAGGTGAAGACAGCGACCTTGGTGAGGATTGCGCATAGCATCTGTTGGAGAGACAGAAGTTAGGAGGGAGAGTCTTGCGCGAAGGGACAGGCGTTTGAGGAATGAAAATTACAACGAATACACCCATGCTGAAAAGACAGATGAGAAGAAGTTTCCTACAGTATTATTGTCGTTAGCATTCAGATTCTGTCCTGGATGGGGGATCCATCGTCCAACATAAGTAAAAGGATGTACGAACTTTCCGATTTTCATCTTCAACTGACTAATCAGTGTGACCGGGATCAGAAGAAGCACTAAATCCGTCGAAAGGTTCATCGTGATTTGCAATATGTTGTAGTTCTTCCATGTTAAGCATTCCACTGAAGCAACAAGAGTCAGCTTCCTTCCAATACTCCAGGCTATATTCGTGAGATGGCTGATTTGTTGCAACCAGCTTCCATCTGTGAGGAGAACTCACTATTCTCTGGCTCGAGCTCCATGTAGTCAGAAAACGGCCTACACCATCCTCCATATAGCGAAACGATGACCGCGACGTATGCGAACCCGGTGTAAGCTGCAACGCTAACCCATGTCTTTCGATAATGACCAAAGAGACTGCCAATGGTGAGTTCTTGTGCTGTATAAGTGAGAGTTCAGAGGGCTAGATACGTACGTCAGGCGGTTGTACAATAGCAGTAAACAACACTTATTACCCCAAAGTGTTGTTTGCATCGAAGTTTCGGATAGAATGTTCATGATTCCCATCCTACGACCAACAGCAGCGTACTCGTTCGGAGTGAGGGCATCGAAGTCGGTTGAGGCATCAATGTTAAAGTAGATATACAGGGCGGATATCGAAGTCGTGTATATCAGCTACGAATATCACAAGTCAGCTCGTCCGCAATAAGTCAGATCCATTGTGAGCGGTGTATACTAGATCTGAATTGGGGGTAGACTGGGATGCTTCTCTGGTATAATTGACGAAGAAACTTACTACTATGATGGCCATCAATATGTCGTCTACAGTAATCTTATCGAAGAACCTGCGCTTGCGGACGAGGTACTGTGACTGACTGGGTCGGCATATCAGTACAAGACTTATTTTTTTTGGAAATGCCGAGTATGATTTACTTACTATCTCATAACGACCGCCCCGATCGCCAGGCAGTACCATACCCAGCACTCTGCTGTCGCGCTGACTGGCAGAGCCATCGCGGCGGTGCCAACGACGAAATACCCGCCAAGCCGATGTTGAGAATATGAAGGCCGACAAACGCGATGGTGTCGATGCCTTTTCCAACCTCAAAATCTTTCTCTTTTTCGCGATCAAAAAGTTTCCAATTCTCCATCAGTATCAAGGGCACAGGCAAGGTTCCACAGGGAGGGGTTCACTCCTGACTATATCGCCAGTGCGGTAGTCTTTTCGGAACGATGAGGCATTCCAGTCCCGATAGCCACTGAACCGCATCCGGTTCTCGAAGGGAGAAGCATGGCAGAGAGGCCCAGAACAACCCACAATTGCGAGCCTACCTTGACCGGTTCGACACAAAGATGGCTTTGAGCCAACGACGAACTCAAAAGCCACAATCGTAGCTCCAGGTGAGCGTTCTCCAATGATGGAGGGGTCGCCCCCCAATATCGACGTTGGCACTAAGCAATGCATTAACAGTCGATGGAGAGAAACACACGAATGGCTGGTAAAGGTCTGATTCATGAGCATCTGGCTGCATTCGGATGGGGATCGTCAGCTATCACTGGTGAGTTTTAGCGCCAGCACTACAAAGCACCAATATCAACGGGTCGGCAGCTTTCTTCAATTCCCTCTTCCCCCTCAATGGTAACCTCAAAGACATTCCAGGGGGGGCGACTCAGACATTACTGATTCTGTCCTCCTTCGGACCCGCAACGGCGACGCTGCCCAGGAGGCGATCACCGTCCGTGAAAGGTGATTGTTACTTTCCAAGCTATCCAAGCGTTCGCCGAGACAAGCGAGGGGAGCCGAATTGTTTACCTCCGAATCTTTGAGACGGAATCAGGTCCGACTCGGGCCATGTGTCGTTGATCACTTTCAAGTTATCATCGAAAAAGGTTGGCCCACCCGCCCGCCAACCCGCCCATACCGCGCGGCATTAGTGTCTCCCGCGTTGTTAGTCTCGTCTGTCCGGCGCCCGATAACCGATGACGAACTGGACATATCTGGCGGGCGCAAAATTCCATCGTGTCAAGCCCTTGGGTTTATTGTTTTTCCCGGCCTAGGCCTGGCCACGGATCGAATACGCAAGTGTCTCGCCGACCGATCACATCACAGCAGGCGTCCAGCGTGAAAGGGTAGCTTCACATTATAAGGGCGCCACCTCTGAGCCACAATTCCCAGCAGAACCCGAGAATCAGGTTCGCCAACGGCCCAGTTCGCATGTTAACTCGGTTTCTCGTTTCAGTCGGCTAGGTATTGCAACAGGTAGGACGGCGGGAAGGGAGAGTAGACTCGGCTAATATTGCTAATTAGCCGACTGTGATACCTCATACGAAGTGAGATTTATAGATCCCAAGATCATGCTGTATATTTGGTTAGAGAGGAGCAGTGTTCATCGACAGGTCTTCCGAGAAGACAGGGCCGCGTGAATGGTGGCTTCGGCCAGACGAGTATGGGCCGAGTCCGTCTTCTTCCCGTAGAATCCCTTGGAACGAAGCGTGCATGAGTATGCATACACGGCGATACAGGAAGGCCGATGTCCGACATAGCTCGATTATCGTCGCTGACAGGCTTGGGAACAAAAAGTCAAAGTTGAACAAACGCGAGTAGGGCTGACTTCAGCTACGAGACGATCTGCCAGAGCCATCAGAAAATTCATGGGAAGTTCCGCTGGTCAACGTTTGAATGAGTGTAAGCCCAGCTTTCTGATGAGTCGACCGCGAAGATATGGTGAGACGAGTGCATGTCTAATGGAGAGTTGTGGGCCAAGGCATAAGTCCGCCCGCCACACAGCCAGTCAGCAGAAAACGCAGCACATTTGGTGTATGATACCCGACATATCGAACGAAACAACAGAGTTCCAAGTCAGAACTGTAAGGTCCCGACCCAGAAGCAACTTCCATAAGAAGCTGAACTGGATTGGATGTCCAAATCCGAAGCAGGGCTGTGACTCAAGAGCGGCTGAGAAGCCATCCAATCGTATTCGCGATACCTTAGTTCTCTGCAAGGCTGGAGGCTGACTTGTGTAACTTCTTCATGGCACCGAGTTGCCTGGTTGGGCGAACTGCATTCGGATTCTGGTCAGGTACCTCGAGGCAACTTCTGATGGACCTACGGAGACAGGCAACTCGTCGGTGTGAGAGCTGAGAGATGGCAAAGGCTCAGCTTTGTGAACCTTTTTGTTGTAACACCTCGGTATGTCATGTCAGCCTGTTCCTCCTGAGAAACAGGGATGGCGATTCCGTTCTTGTAGACCTTCCCTACAGCATTATCCGAGGCATCCCCGGTTTTGTGATTGTACCCAGATTTCCGGCTACTGGACTCCGGAGCGACCGCCTCTAACGGATCAGGATGGTCGTTCGCGTCACGTGATGAAATGATTATGTCATTCCATCTCTGTTGTCCATCTACGACCTGAGCAGGTGCCAACCTTAGGTAAGCCAAGGAATGGTCATTAAGGTAGATGGACCATTAGGCAGATATTGACTGCCATGGGCTAGCAGGCAACGGTTGGGAAATAGGCAAACTGGGAAGTTGGATTACAAAGCAAGTCGCAACCTGATGGGGGGTTTTGCCGGAAGATGGAGGCCTGAAATGAATACACGAGGGGTTTTGTGAGATGTGTGGCGGAGGATCGCGTTGGTAGTAGAACATGTGAGGTATTGATTGACTGTTCTGGTATGAAAGAAGAATGGCAATGTATGAGGTGGCTAACAAAGATGTTGTATCTCTGGATTGACCGCCCAGGCCGCTCTCCGGGTCCCCAAAGCAGTGACAAAAAAGCGGACCTCAGAATAGCTTCGGTAGTTTTCATAATAGGCACAAGACTGAGGAAGCATTCGACGCCAACCTGCGTTGAATTCCTTACCTTAGGTACCTATTGAGAGCAGTCCGCCAGCGAAGGTTTTGTCTTTGCCTGAAGTAAACCCAACTTGTTGCTGAAGGAGGCAAGGATACCAGAGCAGTCCCAATGGGCCAAATGGAAACGGCCCGGGGGAAAGAACAAATGGAAAGTAAAGCACCTGTCGCCGCCCATTCAAAGGGGTCCCCGCTATGACGAGACACCGCCGCACGTGACCCTTGCCTAGCCCAATTGTGCCTACCCAACTTTGGCCTGCCTGACTGAATTTTTCGCTTAAGAAGTACGGCTTCCTTGCAAGCTCCCCCGCCATCCTCAAAAACATAACCCCCCCTAAAGTCGATCAGTCGGTGACGATTTCCACACGTCGAAAAGTTTACAGCCTACTGCCCATCCCTCTCTCCGGTACGCCTTCATCTTTCCCGCGCACTTGCCGACGTTGATTTCCGCTTTCACTTCGACAAATCTCTCCATCTGATCGGTTTCTTCTGCTTTGCGCCAGCTGCTAACCTCGCGATCAGCCCCGCTTGTTTACAATTCACTCGCACCGAACCGATTCGTTCACCGATCGCAAACATGGCCGAAACCCAGACTCCTACCTTCAAGCTCGTCCTTGTCGGCGATGGCGGTACCGGAAAGGTGAATATGATACTCCTTCGTCATCCATGGCCCTTGTCGAGGTTGCGCCCGACAGCAGCGTTTGCCTTTTTCGCCAAAATCGACCCCTCGACCCGACGGCATTCCCTTCCGCTCCCCTCCCCCATTTGACCGCGTTGCTAACCATGCGTAACACTATAGACCACCTTCGTCAAGCGTCACTTGACTGGTGAGTTCGAGAAGAAGTACATGGCCACTCTTGGTGTCGAAGTCCACCCCCTCGGCTTCAGCACGGTAAGTGCCCTCCGATCAGTTTGGTCCTCCTACAATATTGCTCGCCGGTCTCTAACTCTCAGCGCGCATAGAACTTTGGTCAGATTCAGTTCGACGTCTGGGATACCGCCGGCCAGGAGAAGTTCGGTGGTCTCCGTGATGGTTACTACATCAACGGCCAGTGCGGTATCATCATGTTCGATGTCACCTCCCGTATCACCTACAAGAACGTCCCCAACTGGCACCGTACGTAGCACCCATTGGATCGACATGACTCGAATCTATAACCTTGACCCCGAATGATCAGCCCAACTGACAAGGACTTTCTAGGTGATCTCGTTCGCGTTTGCGAGAACATCCCCATCGTTCTCTGCGGCAACAAGGTCGACGTGAAGGAGCGCAAGGTCAAGGCCAAGACCATTACCTTCCACCGCAAGAAGAACCTCCAGTACTACGATATCTCTGCCAAGTCCAACTACAACTTCGAGAAGCCTTTCCTCTGGCTTGCACGCAAGCTTGTCGGCAACCCCGCCTTGGTAAGCTCCCTGGCCGACTCTTTGCACCGATTACTGCCCAGAAATTTTCAATGCTAACTACTCCACAGGAATTCGTTGCTGCACCGGCTCTCGCTCCCCCCACCGCCCAGGTCGACGAGAAGCTCCTCGAGCAGTACCGCCAGGAGATGGCTGAGGCTTCCAGCATGCCTCTGCCCGGTGAACTTTCGGACGATGACTTGTAAAGATAGAGACGCGACATGGACATGATCCCAACTCGGTGGAACGGTTGAAAGGACGTCGTGAACCGAAATTCTCTGGCGCAGACCGGCTATAGCTGGTCACGGTCATTATGGTAGAAGACGGCACGGCCGGTTCGGTATGGTAGACTCGGAGCTGAGTGGAGGGTTTTACACTTGCTGCGAGACGACCAGCATGCTTTGAGTAGTTTGACGCCTTACAAGATGAACACTGAGTCCTTACATTTCCACCAAGGTGTCTCGGGTTCCGCTCGTCCTCTTCTCTACTTTGCGTGTGCGAACCTCGGCAGACAGCGCAATGCATTTAATTAGATAGCAATTCAATGGTTAGCTAGGCATGATCGGGCAGACAGACAGATATGAAGAGAGAGAGAGACCGGAAAGGCTGGTAGAGAAATGGTCAAGAACATAGCCTCGCCTGACCACAACATGCAACTCAAGTGAGAGATAACAAGTGGGTTTAATATATCTCTTAGAGTACATAAGCAGTATCCGTGGCTTGGATGGTAATGTAACGGACCCAGTTTACGAGCAAGATCGAATGAGGTACAGTACCCAGATGGAAAGTCAAGGGTCTGAACTCCGGAGTACCTTTTAGTGAGTTAGTGAGTTTCGGTGAGGGCAGAAAAGTCACTCATTTTGTGCAATCTGTTCACCACTCGGCATCTATCAACGCAGCGCAGAAACGAACAACATCTGCGATTGAAACCCCTGTTGGTCGAGCTTTCAGCGGAACACACTTCACTTGGCTGAGACATTATCCTAAGTGTACGAAGTGACTTGCCAGCCAAAGCTTAACTTGAGAGGAGAGCTTGATTGCTTGCACATGTGGGTCTGTAATGTGGCTGCAAGCACTGTTTTTGCACCAGATCTAGGTATATCTTGTCGAGGGACGGGGGGCTTGTTCACTCTTCCAGTCACCAACCTCCTCTTAATGTATTACGGATACCCCTGTTCGTCTCTCTCTCAACGCGCTTTTGGTTCACCAAACGAGGACAGACGCCTACGAATTGGGGGCAGCAGTGCTAGATATTTGGGATCCAGCGACGCGTCTGGTCGTACATTTGGCGGGGGGTGGCTGGGTGTTAATCTCTGATAGTACGGATATTTGGTGTCTGACCGTCTGACCGTCTGACCGAAGGAGGCAGAGCTGCTAGCGGGGCATACGGGAACATGGATTGTAATGGGAATCCGTTCGCTGAGTCCGGCTTATATGCGCATTGCCACGCGTGTCACTGGGTGTGCTGGATCTCTGGGAAAGGTAAGATAGGCGTTTGTTCGTATGGGACGGAAGATTGATATACACAAGCAAGTGTATCCGTATGTTGTTCCATCTTCCAAGCACCAATTCGCATTCGTCCCAGGCTCCCAGGTCCCCGAGCAGACTCAGTCAGATGCGGCAGGGTGGGTACACGGATGAGGGATGGTCTGGGGTCAAATACCAAGGGTGCACGTACAAGCGACGACGAGCTGCCTTTCGCGTTTTACTGCCAACGGAAGCATGTATCGAACTAGAACCGGGGCGGTTCGCACGCGCGCAATGGCACGTAGAAACGTCGAAGAGCAATATTCCAATATGCAGCATATGACCAATCTTAGCCTCATGTTTTCGATACAGTTCATGAATTTGGCCATGTGGCCTTGATACTAAGTATCTCACGAACAGCTTCGCTACGGCGTGTGAGCCAGATTTATATGCACACTCGCGGGATTTGTTGGGAGAGGCACCGGACCAAAGGTACACTAAATCCAGAGACGGGGAAGGGAATGAAACTGGGGAGGTAAGTTAAGAGATCGGGTAGATTTCGAGATCTCCATGGACCATCGGTCAGGTCGTCAACGGTCAGACCAACAGAGTCGATGCGTGCCTGTAGTTTTCACATGGACCGCAAATAATTAAGGTATGATTAGGATATGTCTTCATTTTTGTCGGTGTATGTAGCCCCTGGTGATGGAAAGTAGACTGTTTTTGTTTTATTTCCCAATTGAAAAAGACGCGCGACGTGACTGGTCCGAGCCTTTTATGCGTAGACTACCTTACCTTATGCTAGAGTAGGTACCAAGGTAATTTGCTGACGCTACCGGTAGGTACATTGAGCGCGCACATTTTGGGTCACAGGGCAGTCAAATGAACAACAGACCTTGGGGTCAGTCAACATGAAGAAATGTTCTAAAGTACGTGCATGTATTGGTCATGGCTTGCGAATGACATTCTTAATCCAGATAAATCTGAACATGGGCTGGCTTACAGGCTGTCTGCACCGCACTCATCTGGCCTTGGGGAATATGAGGCAACTATGAAAGTTGAATGGAAACATGCCAGATGCTCAGGCGCAAACGTTGTTGCAAGGAAAAGCACATAAAAACAGACGTGGAAGTGACTCGGTGGGGTCTGCGGATCCGTGCCGCGATCGCGCTGTTGTGTGGTACCTGTCCCCGTAGGCCTGGTCAGGTAGATGGGCATAACTTGCGATTCAGTCAAATCCATTACACCATGCATGCGATCCAAATCAACTTATATAACGCGTCAGTGCCGAATGTGATCAACTCTATGATGGATCAGATATTCTGTCTCATGAACCTTTGCTCATTGGTGATTTTGAGAGAATTATATAGCACTGCACTGAGCTGGTATCCAGACCAAGTCCAGTACCTACCTTAAGGTACCTTACCCTGGCCGGGTATCTGCAACTCCACTATCCACGTCCCTAGCGTGTAAGTGCCTTTGCCTAGTTGGGGTTCTCAGACGCGCCGTGTTCAACACCAAAACCCATGTGGGAGGCACCACAACTCACCTGGACCGTACCTGACCTTAATTGCGACGAATAACCGCGCCTCGTGTGTCTCGACGCTCTCGCTTCCCCACCTCGTCCGTTCCTGGGAGCCTCTCTTCGTCATTGTTCCTCTCTACTTTACTCTCCTCCCAACTTTGTTTTGCCTGCAGTCCTACCATTATCTTCAATTCACTTTATTGTCAGGCCTGTCTCGTCCACGTCCAGTATTCCTTGAGTGCACGCTCGCTACCATCGTCCCCAGTTCGCGACTCGTTCAATTGCATCGACCCCAGATCATGACTGTCGTTTACTACTCATAGCTTCAACCGCCGCCATGTCCGTCTCCGAAACCTCCTCCCAAGCCTTGGTTGGAGCACCACCGTCCTCTTCTTCCCCGTCTCCACGCGAATCCTCTTTCCGAACAGATCAACCCGCCCAGACTCCTACGAGACAGGCTGTTGCTACTGCCACAGAAACCCCCGACTTCGCGCCATCCTCGTCTGTCAAGACAGACGTGTCAAACACCGATTCTGAGCGTCACCCCAAGGGAAAGAGGAAAAGAACTGCGTATGTCGTTGCTTTCGGCCCAGTTGATACGCGTTTTTGTGCCCCAGTCACTAATTCTCGTTTGTCTCGTCTAGTGCCAAAGACAAGTCGATCCTTGAGGCTGCCTATGTTGCGAACCCGAAACCAGACAAGGTAGCGCGTCTAGATATCGTGAAGCGCGTTTCCCTCAACGAGAAGGAAGTCCAGGTATTTGATAAATTTGCCGGTACGACAATCGTCGCGCTTGGTGCTGATCGCGGGCATGTAGATATGGTTCCAAAATCGTCGACAGAATGACAGGCGCAAATCGCGGCCCCTCTCCGCCCAGGAGATTGCTGCTCTTCGTTACGGTGGCATGCAGATACTCTCTTCGGATCCGGTAGCCTACACCTCTCCCCTACCGGAAGAAAAGGCATCGCCAGTGGTAGAAACTGCTCCCGTCAACACTGTTATGCCTGCCGAGACTCCAGTCAAGGCTATGTGCTTGCGAGGAGACGAGACCGAGGAGCAGCCTCAACACGCAACACCGTCCATTCTTAATGGCGGTGCTGAGGCGACGGCCTTGAAGACACCATTATCCCAAGTCACGGCTTCCTCGTCTCAGCCTCACTCAACAGGCTCATTCTCCTTTTCAAACTCTGTTGGTTTCTTCACATCATCTCATTGGAATCCAGCAAGTGCCTTTTCAACCCCTTCAACGCTCAACCGCAGCGTTGACGAGACCCCCAAGTATGGTTCCCTCCATTCGTTGGCAGAATTTGTGCTAACATGGCACGCAGATCCGATCTGTGTACACCTGCGTCTTGCTCACCGCCTGCACATGGATCACACACCTTACCCTCTCCTCAATCGTCGCAACAATCACAGGTGCGATTATCGCTTTCGCTCGAAGGCAAAGCTGAGCTTGTCTCGAATGAGAACTCGCCCCCTCGCTTCCAGCCTACGAAGCTATTTTCGGATTTGGCAGCCTTACCTCAACCCAGAATAGCTCGACCGCTCCAGCGCAGTCACAGTGCCCTCCCTAGCGTAACTCTGCCACCCATAACAGCCCTGACTGACTCGCTGCCGCCGACGCTGGGACGAGGTAGATCTCGTGACGCTCATGCGTGGGAACTGTGCTGTGACGCTGATTCTCGCGACGAGCTCACGACACAGGCTGAAGATGAGTCTAACGGCTCTGCTGTCGCTGCCATCAGCCTTCTCCGCTCAACCAGCGGCGTTCTTCAAAACAACAGCTCCAAACGGAACTGTCCTGCAAGTAGGCCGGCTTCTCGGCCTCAACAGGCCAAGAAGCCTAAGCTTTGTCGGACATCTTCAAGCATGGGCAGGATGCAAACATCACTCGCTGATGGCGAGGAGTCCGTATCTCAACTGAGTGACGAAAAAGGCCTCGGTGACAAAGTCAAGGTGGATATGCTGATATCTCCATCGGGTGATTCTGATAAGGAGAATTGGAGACCCGAAGACGAAGGCGACATGCGTCGGTTGCCACCAATCAACGATCGAAGACCCTTGCCGGCTACCGTTGACACCAAAAACAATGCGAGAAGAACAGGACGTACTTTACAGGACCATCCTGGACCCGCCATATTTGGCAGTAGCCGCGCCAGAACGATGCCAGCTATGGGACGCCGAGCATCCGGAAAATATGTCACCATATTCGAGGATGGGCAGAACTCAAGCTCACCTACAGCAAAGGGTTCGGACGAGGTGGAGAGTTTCATGCGAGGCGCAGATGTGAGCCCGAGCAAGAAGGGCGACATGGACTGCATTGCAGGTCTGTTGTCTCTTAGCCAAGGTGCCTGGAGATAGAAACTTGGCGTGGAGGCAGGCGGCTTCACACCCTCGTCGGGAGTAATTCGCATAAAAAGTGAGTGTCTTTGTTGCGCCCCCTTGTGGACACTCAGTCGGCTCCGTGGTAGAAACGGACAGTTGCCAGTCCAACAATATGGGTAGTGACCCCCTCGCCAGGCGAGTTGCGACACAGAAAGACATAGCAAGTAAGGGGCATGGCCCAGCAATTTCAGAGACGGAGGTGCTGGGCATGCTGTCTATTGCTTGTGGAAGGTTTATACTTTTGTCGTCTCCTGCGGGAGCCACGACTGACACGACGCAACCTAGCTCTCCTCCTCAACTATCGCATTGCGAATCAGGTGACGGGGTATTGTCTTTGTGCTCAGGTGTTGGTGTTGTGTTGGGGCTTGGAATTACAACAAGCAAATGGCGTCCTGGATTTGGTGGTAGATATGGCTCTGCAAAGTGGGTTGTACGTGTGCAATGTTTATGTTCTGGCCAAGCCTGAAAGGCGCCACGGCGAAACATGTCATAAAAGGAGCAATGAAAATAAACCAATAACAAAATTGCTGTGCCTCTTTTGACTGAGATCACCAGATGGTATTTACTGGTGTCTAAGACACTATGTGAATAAAGGTGTGTGAACTAAGGTACCGTCCATCATCTTGCATCCTTAGGTGCGAACTCAGAATGCTCACATGGTCACCGCATATTCATGATCACTCAGGAACAGCCCTCCTGTTCATTACCACAGAAAGGTGGGAGAGTGCACTCTCTGTTTTCGGTGGAATAGATAAAAGAGGTGACGTCGAGTCAGGCACGGGGCATGAGGGATCTAGGTTCATAATTTGTGGCAGAAATTGTTTGGCATATAACCACACCTGCAAGTCGGGTCTACCGCCAACTGCAGATGCTAGTGAGATTTTGATCTCACTCTCTGTTTCTATTTCTCTCTTCCCGACTATGTACCTCTCTTCTCCCAAGTTGAGAGGAGAGCGAGTGTGTTGGCTCGCGCACACGACCACAGCCAATGCTAGTATAATCCCCCTTCATCTCCTTCATCTTCTGATAATGTAAGAGCGCACTGCTCATGCGGGCATGTCAGATCTGAGTCTTTCAATCCGCGCACAATAGTGGTCGTCCTATGCTTTCCTCTCTTTCTTATGCCTTGCGAGATCGCTAAAGTCTATGAAACAAACAAACAAAAAAAGTTGCCAATGCATCTTGGTCTAGCTCACCCTCCTCGCTAGTGGTAAGGGGTTTAGGGTGAGATGCCGAGGAACAGAGCGTGCTGCTTTGCGTAGCCGAGCCGCCTGTTTCGTGGTTGTGAAGAAAGGTGGGAATCATGATGCTCTGTCTCTAACGAAAAAACAAACGGCCGTTAATCACATGCCCAGCAGACTCATCTGCCTTCTCAAGGGACTCGCACTGATGCTCCCGTCCTCGCTAGCGTAGCAGGCTGAGTCGGTGTCAATGTCCCACTCCGGATCATCGTCCTTGCCGTCCTCAGACGGGCAGAGGCTGCCACCAGCAGAGGGATCGAAGCCCTTTTGCATTGCGGCGCGCGTGTTCCAGCGAAGAGTGCGGGACACGCTGTCGAACCACTCCGTCTGAGTTCGGACAACCGTAGGGAATGGATATTGTGAGGCGGTGATGGTTACGTAGTCTCCTTGCTTCAACTCAACACGACCCTTGCCATCAAAGGCGCAGTACGCCGTTGCGCGGGAATTGCGCGGCACCGACACGCGAAGGAGCATCGTGTCAGAGAGAACCATCGGGCGGAATGAGAGGGTATGCGGGCAGATGGGTGTCAGAAGAATAGCCGGAATGTCGGGATGTACCAAGGAACCTCCGGCCGAAAGTGAATAAGCAGTTGAGCCTGTCGGGGTTGAGAAAATGCAGCCGTCAGCCTGCACAACGGTAAGGAGCTCGTCATCGCCGTAAAGTTCCAAGTTCGAAACATAGGGGGACGGGCCGCGGTCGATGACTAGTTCGTTGAGAACCTCGAATTGCTCTCCTTCCTCCGCCTCTTGGCCAAGAGTGCCGTCCCGGTAGACGGTACAGGTGAAGCGCATGCGCAAGTTGACGCGCATGCCCTCATCACCCATGATCCGTTCCAGGTGTTGCGTGTACTTTTCGAACTCGAAGCTCGTCAGGAAGCCAAGACTGCCCAGGCTGAAGGAGAGGACGGGGGGTACGATGCGCTGGAATAGCCATGATGTGAACAGGACGGTTCCGTCACCGCCGAGGGTGAGGACTAGGTCAAACTTCTCAGGCTGGCTCCAGCACAAATCAGGCGTCCAGTACTTGAGCATATCCTGGAATGCAGGGTTCTCTGCGACGATGCCATTGGCATCGAAGCGTCGAGAGTTGCGGAGCTTGGCGTCCACGTAGACGTTGACACCGACGTCGGCACCGTACCTCGGAGTGCGAAGCAGCCAGGTAGCGAGCTCGCGGGTCAGGTAGACGAGCTGGTTGTCGCGAGCTTTGGTGACAATCATGACATTGCGAACGGCGCGCTTGATAGGACGGCGTTGTAACTGCTTGGAGACCTCGCGGACGCCGGTGGCTGTCTGTACGAGCCTAGAGTGGGACATGCAGTCGTCATTCTTGATCTCCTCGAGGACCTTGTCGATGTTGACGGCATCATCGAATCGGTTGTGGTAAAAGCAGGGGGACTGCAAGGAGGGCAGGGCGGTGGTCGGGGTCATACTCCGGTTGGCCAGCTCGTTCAAGGCGTCGGCCAGCTTCTGGGACGAAGAAGTGGCGGGACGGTTGTCGCAACCGCCTTGTTGGGACAACATGCCGGTAAGAGAAAGGGCTTCAGGTTTATTTCTGCGAACAACTGAAGCCAAAGCTTTCATAATAGTCTGGCGAGGGACTTCGTGAGAAGGCGCACGGCGATGGCCCTTGGGAGGATGGGCGGCAGCGCTGGCGTTGGCGCTGGTAGACTTGGACAGAGGAGGCGGGAGCAGCTCGGGATAGGCGGCGGTCGAGGTTATTGATAGGGAGCTTCTTCTTATCGAGGACGAGGGGTTTTGTGTTGCAGCAGCTGTAGCGGGAAATCCGGCTTGGGCGCAAGCGTAGGGTTCCTCCTCTACTACCGGACCGGCATTGCGATGCAGTGACAGTGAGTGTGAGTGCGAATGTAAATGAGAGAGGGAGTTGGAGGAAGAGAGAGGTCTGTCGTGGACGGTGGTGGTGCTGACACTGGCGCTGGAGCTTTTGGGGCGGTCGGAAAGCGAGGTTTTAACTCCATGGGGGTCGGAAGAGGACGACGAGGATGGCAACGCAGACGGCTGGTGCTGTTGCAGTGACACTGGCGCTGGCGCTGGCGCTGGCGGCGGAAGCGGATTCGGATTACTGATGGCGGGGTGCAGGGCGGTGGGCGAGGAGACGAAGCCCGACATGGTTAAGAATAGTGGCACTGCCGTATCTCCGCCGACGGGGCGTGGAAAGTGAGAAGAGATGTGGATTGAGGATCGGGGATGGATGGTGGAAGGATGGATGAACGAAGTACTCTGTACCGCGCGAACCGATCCAAGGTGTGAGGTGAAGCGTGAGTGGTATCCGTAGGCCGAAAGTGAGCGATGGACGGCTAGGTGGTAATTAATTGTCGCAAAAAACAATGCAGCGGCAGTGACGAAGGAGTAATAATAGCACCTTCCGGGGGCCTGGGCTGCACGACTTGTATCCGTACGGCGAAAGTACCTTACAAAAGGGTAATGGAAGAAGGTGCGAGTACCTTTCTCCGTATGCAGTGGAAGGGAGGTACTTCAGACTTGGTAGGCGAATCGTGGAAGCGGGCAGGGGTCGGGGTGGGTGGTGGGCAGGGACCTGTTTCTCCGCTAAGGCCGAGCAAACACCAAGCGGTAGCAGTTTGCAGACACTGCTGGCGAACCGAGAAGTAGCAAGTACCAGCCAACGTAGGTACTGTTTCTACAACGTGGAGACCACACACAAAGTAGGTCAACCTGAGCCAAGCAACTTTCTAGACTCCAAGGAAATGGAACCTGGAAATCAACGACCGGACCTTGCGGACCACCGACGCCGATGGGATCGATCAGGTAGTGCTGGGCGTTGTTGCCGTGTAGATCTTTGTGTTAGGCCGCGAATTGAACGACCTTTGGTTGTGTGATGGAACGTGTATCCGTACTGGACGTAGGTATCACCACGAACTCGTACAAGCGTTCAGATTGTCTCTGATGTCGGGAAGAGAAGATAGGTTGTGCTGATGCAACCTGAAATACCTCGATCTGCGTAGATGCAACACAAGTTCAGGAAAATGTCCAAACGGAGAGAGAGAGAGTCGGTGCTTTCGCAAGCTTGGTAACCTTGATCAGGTCGGCAGTCGTAGGTAGCTCTAGACTCTACGCTCAGCGAGTCTGTCTGTCTGACTTTTCTCTCTCACGCACCCTCCAGAGATGCAGGTCGATGTGCAGGTAAGCTGGGCGCTTCCTGCAGTGTGGTGACTCGGGTGTGACGGGGCCTCGGATGGAACGAATGACGCTAAGTTGAGTCGAATTGCCGCCTCGGGACGGATAACTAAACCAGGCTGATGGCTGCTGATTTGTCTGACAATGTTGCAGTCGGATGTGACGATTAATCAAAACCTGGGGGGGATGGACTGCTCGTCTAGCAGGTCGGTTCTTGGTAGTCCGGATGGGCGTCTAGAAGGTTGAGGATGACGAGAACTGGGCCGAGTCGAATATGTAAAACCGAAGGCGATCAAATAAGACACGCTGAGAAGCCAGCAGCCGCAAAAAGGTAATTAAGTGAAAGGGGTATGATGGCAATGCAGTGCACACACAAGGTATCTGATGCAAAGACAAGGCAAAGCGATGCAGGAAAGTAAAGAATTATGGACAATGCCCCAAAAGAAGTAGCGACCAAGGTAATTGCTAGAACTACCGGAGCTCTGCTTCGAAAGGAACGGGGTGAAGGGGAGAGAAGGAGAGAAGAGGAGATGGTAGTGGTGGAGGAGGAGGAGGAGGAGGAGGAAGAAGAAGAGCGATAAACCAAACGAAGACGAAATAAGAGAGTGACCAGACTGACTGACAAGAGAACAGAAAGAAGGCCAGTACGAGATTCGTCCCAGCAGTGCAGGAGCTTTAATATTCTAGGTCACAATAGACATTTCTCCCCTCTCCTCCCCTACCACCCCCTCCCCTCTCCATTCCTATTGTTTTCAGTCTGATGTCGATCGAATCGAGCAGCAGGATGGATGTGATGCGACAAAGGGCACTCCCGCCACAACGCCCAAGCTCAAGCACCCTGTTCTGCTAATCTGCTACCGGCTGAGAACAATCCACTTGACTTTTCTTCACGAGGTATCCCTACTCCCTCTTCAGGTGGTGGTAAGGTACGGATATCAAGAAGCCAATCTTCTGTTCCCTTTCGGCAACCCGTGCCCCCCAGTCCTGATCCATAACCTATTACCTACTTCTATCCGCCCTGGCCTTGTCGTTGGACTGTATCCGTACGAAGGAAGTTACGAAGACCGCAATTACGAACTCCGAATACCTTGCTACTCCTTAGCCACATCCATGACCCATATGCTTAACCGTGTCACTATCATCTTTGGGCCTGTGACAGCCTCCAAAAGTTCAGCATCCGCAGTACGCGCCTTGCCATGTTGCATGCAACATCCTGCTGTCAGGAGGCCGGACATTCTGTGGCCCTGGGGTACAGATACGTATCTACGGACTCTATCCGATAGTGGCTTGTTGTAGTCGCAACTGGGCATGTCAAGATGCATCCATACGCTACAGATACACGTGTAGACACAGAGATAGGACTGGGCTTGTGATGAAGTCAACGGGTGTGAGAGCCTACGAGGATGCAAAGCAAGCAAGGTGCGGCGAGTGGTAAAACGTCGATACGTACTCCCCGTCCACATCCCTGGCGATCCCCAGTCAAACGTCTCTTCCTCTAACTTCTTCTGCAAGGCCAGGTTCTTTAGAGGGCAAGGGAGACGAACAAGGGGCGGCATGACATTGGCAGACCCCCGTGGTGGGCCGGGTACGTCCTCTGATCCCCCCAGCCAAATGCAGGCCCGTTGGGATCGTGGTGCACCAATACCGAGAGGGCTACCTGCTGTACGGAGACGGATATAGCCAGTTTGCAACCAGTATGGTCCATGGATAAGGTAGTAGAGTAGGTACCTTACACTACTGGGTACCTTACCGGCGCCCTGGAGCCAGATGCTGCCGTGTCTTGACAGGCACGCGGCACGCCGCAGGCCCGCACCTCACGCACAGCATCCCTTTTTGCTGTTGCAACTTGCGGGCAGCGTGGTCCAGGAGAGGCAACAGGAGACGGGACACCAAGTGTATCGTGTACCCGCTCGGGTCGCCACAAATGTCGCACTTGTGACGGTACCGAATACTCTGCAACTCGAGCCTATGTTCCTTTACGTCAACAAACGAGACGAGACGAGAAGAGCCCTTCTCTTCACCGGTTGGTATTGTTATTGTTATTGCCCTTGGTCTGTCTGCTATGATCAGCTCTTGTCTGGACTTTTGGTCCTCTCTCTCGTACACGTGTAGACTGTAGTAGCATCAATGATCACCCACCGCGTGTAAGAAGACCGGGCAGTCCGACATCCAGCCATTGAGTCGTATCAGATCTGTGCGCGACTCTACTTGTCGGAGGCGTTTGACTGGAACTATCCTCCTTCTATTCAAGTGAGAGGAAGATCAACACCATAGGCCAGACTGCGGCCAACGTGGAACTATCTCCAACAAGCGGACACAATGGCAAGCGCTGGCTGGATCCAATGACAAGAGCAATTCATGCGGTCACGATACTGAGGCAGCATGGGAAGTATCCCCGCACGGTAGTGAGACAGCCACAATAGATGGCCCGGTGGCTAGGTATTGTGATGACACCAAAACCGTGGCTCTCGACTGGGCAGAGGCTATCCGCACAACGCGTAGAAACCAAAGAGCCATGCGGCTTCAATCTGGTCTCTGCTTTGCCCTGATCGACCGGTGCTTGTGCAGTCTCACTCTCATGTCTGGGACGCCGCTAGGCCGGGGTGGTCGGAGGCGAAACAACGAATCTGTCCGTTTTCCGTCGTCTCAAATCACAAGTCTTTCCCCATATCCCATACCACCATACACAAATTCTGGCGGCAACAACTTTTTCTGACTCTCTCCTGAATCACTCGTTTGTAGTCGAATAAGGTACGGCATGCGAGTTTTCTTTCATGTGCGTGTGCATATGTGTGTGTGTGTTTTCGCCGCCGGGTCTGGCCTCAACTTTCCGCTGGGAGACGCAGGCCGCACCTTGGCCTGTGTCCTGTTCCTGAGCGAGGGGCAAAGTCTAGGTAGATCCTCTTCCAGGACTGCATTATGCCACTGTGTTTCGAGGACGTGAGCCTTGACTCTCTGCTGCTGCTCGGCTTGGGCGGTCCTAGGCTTCCCGAGGCGGCAAGAATGATCCACCGATGACAGCAAGATAGAGGAAGAGAGGAAGCAAGGGTCAGTGGTAGGTAGGTGTGTGTGTGGTATCTGCAGATCGAGGCTGTCGTCCGAGGTAGCCCGATTGCTGCTGGACGGCTCGATTGCCTTTGGGAAGCGCCGAGACATCCAATGGCTGAACGGACGGCTAATCGGGAGAGAAGATCATGGCTTGACCGCTTGACAGACTCCAGAAAGAAAAACCTTTTTGCAGATCTGGAGCGTCCCATCCGGTAGAACGACAACCGCCGGCGAGGAGAATCAGTGAAGTTGGGGATGCGACGACAAGACTCGGCCGTGTGTAAGAAGAACCGATAGCCAAGCCTTTCTTCGGAACGAACCTTACCTCAAGATGCCTTAGCCAAGGTGATGTTGGACCAGCACTGATGTGAACAACAAATAGTACAGAGTTCCTGGGTGATATCAAAGACATGGCAGATGGAGCTTGCCGTCAGGTGTCTGTGGGAACCTGGAGAGTGTACGAATGAGGGCTGTGCTGCCTTCGAACATCAATCCACCTCCCGTACTGCTGTTGTTGCGAATTCCCATGTTCCAAGGTTGTCGCCGTTGTTCTTGTTGTTGTTATCATCAGCGTTGCATAGAGAAGGAAGGAGGAGTCGAGCTGGTTTGGACTTATTGCGGATCAAACACCGCCCGCTTTTTGGCCCGCCACGGGCAGAGCTACCTCACCTTACGAATACCAGGCTTCCTATTCTTTTGTACATGAACCTGCTTGGCTGGCGGTTACCCGGCCCATGTTACTGGGCAACACGTGCTTTTGGTACACCCCAAAACTCTGTTATCACACCGTATGGGGGGGGGAATCTCACCGATAAGTCAAGGTATCTCTACCTTTGCTTTCCCGGCACGACGTTCTAGAAGCTCTGCGGCGCTGCCTTCGCCAAACCTCCTAAGCGGAACAGCGGTCACAGGCCCGGATCCACCGAGCTGGAACACACGCGTACGCAACCATAAAACTCGCTCCTTTTGCTTGCTGAAGGCCAAAGGGAGATGGAAGACTTGCGGTTCTGGAAATAGGGAAAATGGGAGGAAAAGAATAGCTGCTCCGAAAGATGGGATGCGATTACCGCATTCCGCCCCTACTTACATGTCAACATCAATTATGCTTAAACTGACCCGAAGCCACCCCAAGCAAAATCAATCTAATACCATGCCACCTCGTAGCTAACCATGGCTCTTGGCGGCTACAACTCATTGGTCACCTCATTGCATACCTAGATGTTTTTTGACATCGCCATCCGGGGCGCGAAGGGACTTGATAAACCAGGGAGGTCTTCTCGGGATAATCGAAATTCTACTAAGGGTATCCGAAGGCCTGGGCATCAAAGGTAGCTAACGCCAGGTAAAACAGGAGAAACTCCACCCACAGGAAAATGACACCATTTTCCAGTGCCGACCGATGCAAAAAAAAAAGGCAAGCCACCCAATCCTCCCTCCCACGGCAGACGGCCACGGAGCCGTTTTCAGTTTCCTCCGCAGACGGGAGAGCGTCAAAGGTAACACCGTGACGGGAGACGTCCTGGTCAGAAACACCCGGTAGCTCCTAACCTCGGGGCCTGTCATTGTCGCAGATTTCCCCGTGCCCCTGCCCGCTTCAGGACCCCTGAGGTTGAGCTGAAACACCGCCTCACGCCGCATTTTCAGCGACCTTCAAACGGGCCAAACAACGCCGTCGATAATGACCAATCCACTTTTTCCTGACTTTGATATGCGACCTGACCTAAGGTAGGTTCGCTACTTTCAGTTTCCCATCGTCGGCCGCGGGATAACTTTCTGGCCCTTGTCTTCCGTGTCATGTTGCTGCTGCTTCTGACGTGTGTGAAAAGTGATAGCCTGTGAAGAGGCCCATTGCCGAGCCGGTTCCCGGCTCTCAGCTCCAATGCTGTTTCTGGGTGCTGTCATCGTTGCTCCCCCCTGATCAAACCTCATGATAATTCGCCTGCCACCCCATCGGCCGTCTCGTTTCGACACTCTCCCCAGTCTGTCGTTCTCGCCACTCATAACTGAGCGAACCAGTCCGGTCCATCCCTATTGCTACAATGGCGCAAGCCCCGATGCCTAGACGTCGATGCCGCGTGTTCTTCGTTGGTATCATCCATCTCACCGTCGATTGCAGTGTGCCAGTGTTGACATCTCTCCTCCACTGGAACTCCTGAGTGCGGCATCACCCACGCCTTGGTAGTCGCTCGGCGGTTCCAAGACCCTGTATGCTTCGGTTGATGGGCTGATTTTACGCAGCCTTCGATTCCATGACGGTCCGGATGAACTGCTGCATGTCGGTCGTGTCTTGGCTGTCGTCGTCCATGGCCGCGCCCAACTCCGCTTGGCGGTGCTGGCTGCACACTAGTTGACCTTTGCTAATCACTTCATCCCACTCGGCCATGGAGAAAGTTCCCTCACTCTCCAGCAACAAGAGGTCGTTCTGCGACGTAAATATGACAACGTGGAGCGATTTTGACTGGTCTATCTCCAGAGGAGAAGGGTCAACGATGATCTTGTCAACCTTCTCGACGACGGCCAAAGTGGCGCATGTGGCAATAGCCTTCAAAGGCACGGCGGCCGACAGCAAGGCCAAGATGGCGCTGTGAAAGAGGGCCGGTAACTGAGGCAGGCTCTTTCAGAAAATAGGATAGTCAGCAATAGTACTACACAGGCGACACAGGGCGGTGGGTTTTGAGATGAGATGGACTTCTTCACTTACAGAATGAGCCTGGACTACTTTGCTGTTCGCATAATCGTTCTGCGGCGTCTCAGTCACCTGAAGCGTGACCTGAATGAGACAACGAGGAAAGTTTTTGACGGGAATCAGCTGGCGAAGGGCGGAACGCAAAATATTCTCGAGTTGGCGCTCTCCTGTGCCTAAATAGTCGTCACGATTGTGAGCAAAGTTGTCCACTTGGTGCCAGAAAAAAGACAGTCTGACCTCCGACCCCTGCAGCAGGTCGTACGACAACATCGACGACTGATTCGAAGGGGTTTTCGTCTCGTCGTTGGACCTCAATCGGCCCATTGACGGCCGCAACCACGCAATAACCGCCCCTTGAAAACGTTGCCGAGCCATCTACTCGCGGCAGATGCGAGATGCGGGCCTGAGGGTTCGAATTGAGAGTCATGGCGAACGGTGATGCGGGGATGTTGGCAAAGAAGAATAAGGGATTAAGCTGATGAGTTAGGATTTCTCCCTTGAGGTACGCTTGAAAAGTGAGCGCGAATTAGTACAATGGCGGTTCGAATATCTTGCCTCAAGCAACTTCCGAGTGGAAAAATTGGGATGAAGTTGGTGAGCCACAGGTACGTACCTGTCACAAGGCAAAGTTCCCGGCAGCAGACCAATTGCAATCAAGATCTGCGTCGGCAGGCATGTCCTGTACCCGTACCTTACCTCAGGTGGGGGACGCTTCATTGACCGGGCAGGTACGTATGTACGGATACTTAGCTCAGCGAGCTTGCTAAGCTTCGCTTTCACTTCAACATCACCCAATATTCCGTCGAACTTGGTCGCACTCCAATCGCTTCATCACTGGATACTTGCGCTCGACCCTCCGTTTGTCCTATCATGGCCTCAGTAGATACTGCAACGCATGCCGGCACAACAGCCGTGCCGACTTTGAACAACAAGATTCCCAAGCTGGAACCCCGCCGCCGTCGACAAACTCCCTCCAACCCAACACCTCGTCCCGAGACGCCCGCGCTGCCTATACCACTAGGCCTCGACGACCACGAATACAAAATCCCTTCAAGACGGATCCTTTCTCAAAAAGACCACGAGCTGTTCCTGTCGTCCCCTACATACACGCTAGTCCTAGCTTTCGTTTTTGGCCTCTCCGAGTCCGTCGAAGATACACCTCGCTCCGCCATCAAAGATAGCGAACTCAGCCCTACGCTACAGGCTATCCTCGTCATACTCGACGAAGTAGACGGATTTGTCAAAGAGGCTCCCCCAGATGATCAAGAGGGCTCGCGCTTTGGCAACAAGGTCTTCCGGACGTTCTTGGACCTGGTGAAAGAGAAGGCAGAGAGTTGGCAGACGAGATTTGGCGTTGCCGAGGCCGCGAATACTGAGGTCTTGGTCTATCTGGAGCATTCCTTCGGAAATAGGCAGAGGATAGACTATGGTTCTGGACATGAGCTCAACTTCATCATGTGGCTTCTATGCCTTTACCAGCTCCGAATCATCACTAAGGATGACTTCCGACCCTTGGTCCTCAGGGTATTTGAGAGGTACCTGCAGGTCATGCGCAACGTCCAGTTGACGTACTATCTGGAACCCGCTGGCTCACACGGAGTCTGGGGCTTGGACGACTACCAGTTCCTCCCTTTTCTGTTTGGGGCCTCGCAGCTTCTACACCACCCATTCATCACACCGTTAGCGATCCACCAAGACCTCACACTGGAGGAGTTCAGTCACGATTATCTCTACCTTGGCCAGGTTAACTTCGTCAACGATACGAAGACGGTCAAGGGTCTGCGATGGCACAGCCCCATGTTGGACGATATCTCAGCTTCCAAGTCGTGGACCAAGGTGGAGGGCGGTATGCGCCGAATGTTCGTCGCCGAGGTTTTGAGGAAACTTCCAGTCATGCAACACTTCCTGTTCGGTTCACTGATCCCGGCAGTGGATGGGATGAGCACAGAGCAGGACTTTGAGCTAGGTGACGAGGAACACGAAGAGGAAAGCGGCGAGATCAACCCGGGGAATGTGAGCAAGCATAAGCATCAACACGTTGGATGGGGCGATTGCTGCGGTATCAAGGTTCCCAGCAGTGTCGCCGCTGCTCAGGAGATGAGGAAGAGGGGGGCACGTGATAATCTTCGACGGATACCCTTTGACTAGACTAGACGTCTACGACGGGGTGCCATATGACAACTTATGAAAAGCCATGACTGGTATGAATGATGAACCTTCTTGATTATACTATTATGCACTACTATGATTTGTTCTCCATATTGCCACTCCATCTAGTGGGAAACCTCTATTACACTTCTCCGGTTGTATTACGATGCTTCAGCAGCATCCCTCGTTTTTTCGTATGTTCACTTTTAGGCATAAGTCACCTCAATCGTCGTCCAGGTAGATGTCTACCTTACCAGGCCGAGCTCGCGAAGACGCTCAATACCCGGAAGGTGCGCCCACTGCTCGCTGGAGGGCGAGCCGCAAGTGAGATCGAACCACAGATCAGGGTGGTCGTTGTCGATGGAGTCCAGCGCGTACGCGACGGTGCTGCCGTACAGGTCGCACCGCGGGACATTGAGACCCTTTTCGGGGTAGAAGCGGTACGACTTGCAGCCGTCCGTGGTGTTCATGACGCTCTGTGAAGAAAGGAGTCTTGTCAGAAATGCCGGGCTCAGAGTCGGGGAGAAAGGGGGGAGAGTTATCAACTTACAGCGCAGAATTGGTAGCAGCCCTCAAGGGTCACGGGCACATTGGGCGCGTTGTTGACGAAGCGAGCCAAGAAGTAGTTGCCTACCGGCAGACCGTGAACGCCGCAGTGGTTGTTCCCTGGCATGGGCTTGCCCGTCGGCGCGTCGTTTTGGCAGACTGTCTTTGTCGGAATCGTGGTCGAGGTCGGGACCGTGATCAGCGAGGCGGTGGTGATGGGTGCCATGGAGGTGTCGATGACGCAGCTTTCCGTTGGGATGACGGAGGAGAACGCCGTCGTCACCTGGGCGGTGGACGACGTGACGGCGATGCTGCTGCTGGTGTTGGGGAGGAAGGGCGTCACGTCGGGCGTCTGTATTGTCCAGCTGGATGATGTCGAGCTGTAGGTCGAGGCGCTGGCGGTGGTTTCGTCGTCGCATGGCTCGGTTGTGGCGAGGGCCGAGGTAGAGGAGGTGGAGGAGGTGAGGGAGGAAGAGGAGACGGTGGAGGCGGACTGGCTGTAAGTTCCGTTCTGAGTCTTTGTAGAGAGCGTGTATGTCGTGGTCGAGTTGATGAGGGGCATACTAGAGGTGAAGGTGGGAACAGCGCTTCCGGTGCTGGTCTCGTCGTCGCATGGCGTCTCTACGGCTGCGCTAGTTGAAGTCTTTGTGGACCACGGCGCCGTGGAGTTGAGCTGGCTGCTGAACGCCGTCGAAGTCGAGTTGATGTAGGATGAGGTGGAGCTCATATCGTCGTCGCAAGGCTCGGTTGTCTGAGAGGGGACCGCAGATGTAGTGTTGTGCCAGGCGGGTACGGAGGTGACGGTCCCATCTGAACCTCCTGTCGTCAAGGACGAGCTGGAGTATGTTGACGTGATGTTGGGGTACGGCTGGTGAGTGCTGGCGGTGTCGTCAGGGCAGGGAGACTCGGACGATACCACGGAAGAGATGGTTGTTGAGTTGACGGGCAGAGTGTAGCCGGTCGAGAGTATCATGGAAGTTGAGGAGGTGGTATTCCATGCAGCTCTCGAACTGGTAGAGTTGGCAGGCAGTGAGGATGAAGACGAAGGCAAGTAGGCTGTGCCGGTACCTCTCGACGACGTCAAGTTGCCGCCGTAAGAAGTGGTCGCCGTGATGTAAAAGGTTACGTCAACCGTTGTGAAGGACGTGGTGACGCTCTCCGGGCATCCAGAAGCGTGGAACGACGACGAGGAGGAGGCGGCGGTGGATGAGGAGTTGTACGATAGTGTGTAGTGAGTGCTGCTGGCAGTCCCCACGGCGGTGCCCGTACCGACGGCAGACGAAGTCCCGTTGGAGGTGCCGTTGAAGTGGAATCCGGAGCGGCCCCGGGCGGCGATTGGACGGACCCATTCACCCGATTGTAGGTCCGGTCGGGAGTCTGGGCCTCGGACGATGTGAGCGGCGACCTGTTTTTTTTTCACTTCTGTTAGTAATTCGCCATTTCCCAAATATCCAGATTGAGTTGTGTCAATCTCACCTGTTCGTCTGAACTTTTCGGAGCTGCTACCGCATTTCCGAGGAGAAGGGCGGTGATGCCCAAGAAGAGACTCTGCTGCATGACGTTGGAAGATGACCGACAGCGATGGGAAGATAACAGAAGGCTGAAGTAATGAATAATCAAAACAACAGTTACTGTAAGGTATTATGTCAAGCCGAGTGTATGCTGAGTTGCTTGATACACCAAGATCTTTGAGGTGTAAGCCATGTCCGTCTTTATACACTGTTGCTGTCGTCGCTCAGATCTTCAGGGAGTTGCGTGATCTCCATAACAAGAGGCATCGAGCCCTTGGTTCCCTGGAAGTGTGGAGGGCTCAAGAATAGAGGGAAGACTATGGGTGTTGTCTATTGAGAGTCGGGTCCTGAAGAAGTGGGAGGGGGTTTGATAGTATCACGCAAGGGGGCCGGATTTCAACCCCTTCAAGCGGCCGGCCACAGCTGAGACATCGTCGCAATGAGCAAAAACATCAGAACACAACGGCTTGTCGGCAAGACGCCTCAAAAAGGGAGAAGAAGGTTCATGAATGTGGTATATTTCATTAACAAGCAGACCTCCAACGCCATTTCTCGAAGTAGAGGGTCGAGCCCCGTCGGAAGGGAGTAAACGTCCCATCTGTAGTAAAGTACAGAACCCAAATATGATTACAATCTTTCCGTCATGCCCTTTGTGAGTTGAAATGCAGTGTAGGGTATCAGAAGGAGTTCACTGAACGCCGCCATGCCCATAACCTTATCGATGCTAAATGCAGTGCAAAGAAACCCGGACGCTCTGCACAACTGAGTGTCGGGAATTGTACGCCGTTGCAGACCTCGAAACCTTTTGCTTTGTTCCAGCCTTTGAGGTGTTTCTCGGTCCGTGTCTGCTTCCTGGTTGTCTGCACTTGCGTTATACGTTTCGAGGTCTCCAAATTCTCAGTCTTCCCAAATCGTCTCCAAGTCGAGATCTTGTCGTCTTTCGGCGCCACATACACTCCAGCGCTTTCGCTTGTCTCTCGATCCAAACCCACCCAGCGTTCTGCCACGCAAGGGTGCGTCTAGACCGCTCTTGCCCTTTAGTTCGCTGGCATCGCCATTTTCTGCAGCGTCTGCAGCGGCCTTCAACTGGGCAATTCTCTCTGCCTCCATAGCTGCCTCCTCCGCATCAGGCGAGTCTGGTATGGTTTCCAGACTAGAAATGCTTGGGCTCCTCGATCTTGTAGATGTCGGGGTTGACGGCACCGATGAGGAAGGAAACGAAGTAGAGACTCCGTAGCCGTATGAGAAGGAGTCGTACCCTCGTAAAGATGGTGAAGACGACGCAGATGTATAGGTAGGCGTGGTAGGCATTGTGAACGACGGAGTGC